CATGCAGATCAAGCCATTGAACTGGATGTTGGCACGTAACATAGAATTACCATATCAAATCCAAAACTTCTGCTCCTAGGGGAGGTTAGTTAATACAGATAAATACCCATTGGAAAGTTTTTGAAATTAGCTATTTTCTAAATTTTCTGATATTTAATTCATGAATGCTTTTCACATTAATCTATATTCTATCTATATAAGACAGACAAGGGCATTAGGAGAAATCTTCAAGTTCTTGTTATGGCTTGGATTCAAACCATGAGCAGAAGGAGAAAGAGTATGCAATCTGTTCTCTGACATTAGCAGTGCAATCCCTGATTATATTGTGGTGCTGCCCTGGGAGAAATCTGCTAATGTTTTCACAAGAGCTCATGAAACAGATTGAATCTTTCTTCTACTGCTCATAGGTCAAATCTTAGGGGGATATATATGATCATCCAGATCTATTGCACTGTAAAGCCCATCTGCTCTGTTCAGAAAATCCAGAGGGGATGGATAATGGGAACTGTAACCTGAATATTTTCAGGATCATGTTTCCCGTAATTTGTGGGATTTGTAGTCGACTGTAAGAAGGAACACATGTCTGACATGTGTGCACTACAGTTTGAGAAACATAGTGGTCAAAAGGAAATCATGCTGGAGCCTTACAAATTCTGTGTAGATTCTTTCAGAAAAGTTTAAATAAATAAGAAAAAAGATAGATTCTAAGGTCAAAATGATGTACATTCCACTGCTGCAGTAATATGGGAGGAGGAGGAGAATGCAGGAAACATTCTCCTCCTCCCATGACTTGGAGAGATCCTTGTCACCAAAGCATAATGGGAAGAGTGACCTGAAAAAGGACCTGTGCTGTGGCAAAAGTGGTTTTTCAAATCAATCTGCCCACAATGATTGGTTTTGAGAACTCCTTGAAAGCATGCATTTAATTCAAAGGCAACTTGAAGTTGACCATTGGTGGATGGCATGCAGCAGTCACTGCCTACCATCAGCACAGCTGCTGCTCTTCCATTTATGCAAGGACTTCTTGGATATTATAAGCGGTGGAAAATGCCAAACTACTGCATTTTGTTACAATAGGGTTGGGTATAGTGCGGCCTCTCTCATATTGTGGGACTGCAAAGTCCATCAGCTGTAGACAGCAGGGAAGAATGTGGGACACTGTAGTTTAGGGGAATTTCCCCATTCAGTAATATTATCTTAAAATTAAAAATAGTCCTTCCGTGGGAGGGAGAGTCTACTGGTTTGTACTAGATCTTCATACTTCCAACATTTAATGGTAAGAAAGTCCATCCAACTGCTAAACAAGGCACATCAGATAGCAACATTTTGATTAGAGGTCTCTTTGTCGCCATTTCCTGAAAGTCTACAGTTTGCTTTTAAAAAGTGGAACACTTCTTTACAAAGAAAGCTGGGCAAGAAACCGAAGTAATTCATCTGATTATGGCTGAAAGATTATAACAGACCCCTTGAAAGCAAAAAATATTGCTTCCCTTATTGTATCTTGCTAAATTATTTGATAGAAGGGATAACATGGAAGAACACAACATACTACAGATATGTTACTGCATTAAATACAGACTTGGGATTTTTTCCCCTCTACTGCCCATGATCAACCAGTTGTATTCACATTGCATGAAAACATTTTTTTTCCAAATCAGTCAACCCAATAAATGTTTATAGGGACGGTGCACACTTGACTCTAAAATTTATGACTACATGCAACATGCCCTTTCTGGTTTTTTTCTTCTTCAAAAAATGAGGTACTATGATAGCCATATTGTTACTATATTTATGCCTCATCTAAGTGACTTGAAGTCCTTTGAAGTTTAGCAGCGATCCTCCCCTGTGTTGTTCTCCCTGAGGTACTGGCCTCTATCAGAAAATGCATAATTAGTCATGCCATGGCTAGCTGTTATCACACTGCACATACGTCCCTTCTTTCCAGTAAGTTGGGCTCAGGGATTAGACAATGCACATAGCTTGTCTGCTGCCCATCTTAAGTAATTTGAAAACAATCTCCATAAGTGTGCATCACTACCCTCAGTTCCTCTCACTATATATTTCATTCTCCTTTTGTAGTCTGATAACATGTGCAGACAAAATCACCTGTACCACCTAACCCATTTGTGCCTGTGTACAGAAATAATGGATCTTTTGTTTAGAATCAAGACCAAGCTACAACTTCTGAGCAGGCAAGTTCAATCAAAGCTGCTTTAAACTGACAACTGAAAGGTTTAAAAAAGTTTTCACTGCTCACTTACCTGCTGTCAGGAAGGAACAAATCCTAAGGTTTTTGTTTTTAGGGGGTTTTTTGGTGGTCGTTGGCCACTCAAGGTTCTATTCATCCACTATATATGTATTTTTAGATTCAGAAGCAGCCAATTATTTCACCAAAAAAAACCTAATTGTTGTCCTACTTTGCTCTAATTTAGCTAAGATTGCTCTCTTGAAGTTGACTAACCTTGAATATACACTTTGGGAGTAATGAAATTTTGGTGGATAGTTATTTCTTAATACAGTACATTATGTATACACTTTCTTTGACTCCACTATAATTTGAACAGTAACTAAGGGATTGTAAAAACACTCGGGGGAGTCATTTTACTTCTGCAAGATAATAACGGCAGTTTTTCTGGAAGAGGTCTTTATGCGGGCTAACTGAAATAGATAACTTTAAAAAATGATTTCATTTTAAGACCAGGCAGTTCTCAAAGGCATCTAGAAGTATTTGGGGGGGGGGGGGGGCTGCTTCTCTGTGTGTCCTAATGTCCCAATGGAGCTCATCAACCATCCTTCTATGGTAGCTATTGCTGAAAATAGGATTTCTGGGGGTTTAAGGCCAATACATCTGGGGACCCACAGGTTGAGAACCACTGCTGTAGATCGTATCAAGACTAAATTCACCAGATCATTCAAGTCTAAGAAAGATATACCATTTCAGCCTTAATAGTAGTCTGAACTTATTTCATAGCCCAAGTTTAGGTAGACCCATTCAACCAAATGCTGAATGATAACTCAATACTTATACACATTCTATTGATCGAATGGGAATATCAACTGAATTCAGGCTTTGTTCTGTAAGCTTATCCTGGGATCTGACTTGGTGCAACGTAGTTGAAATTGTAATTGCCTGGATTACTCAAAGTTGAAAGAATGCAGATAGTAAAGTCCAAAATTTGCCTGAGAATCATACACTTTTCATACACCTCCCTTTATGATCCTGTGCGATTGTTAAGATCTTCTGGGAAGGCCCTGCTCTCTGTTCCACCCGTGTTGCAGGTACTGTCAAGGGCCTCCTCAGTGGTGGCCCCGCGACTGTGGAACTCCTTCCCCAGTGACATCAAAACAGACCCCGCACTCCTAAGCTTCAGGAAAAATCTTAAAACCTGGCTACTTAAGCAAGCCTTTGGGGATTAATATGACCCATAAGTATGATGTAATCTGTATAAGAATGGCGAAAGCAATTGGCTTAATGTTTACAAAGCTCCGTTGGTGGTAGACTTTTGATATGTTTTAATCATTTGAAATACTGATTTAATTAATATGTATTTTATAGTTTTATAATATTGTGCTTTACCGTTATGTTATTATCTGAATCTGGCATTGAATTATTGTCATAGTTTGCAAGTATAAGTACAGTACAAAATACATAAATACATAACATATTGGAAGGAAATCAGAAAATAATGTGAAATGTTTCATGGATAAAGCAGAAATAGTTTAAGTGAACTACAACAAATGTAGGTTAAATTCATACAATTCCATCCAAATGTTGTTGCTGTTCATTTGTTCAGTCGATTCCGACTCTTCGTGACCTCATGGACCAGCCCAAATCAGAGCTCCCTGTCGGCCAACACCACCCCCAGCTCCTTCAAGATTGGCCTCTAATACCCTTCCCGCCAAGGAGCAGTCAGGCTTTATTTCCATCAAAGTGGTGTCATCTGCATATCTAAGGTTGTTAATGTTTATTCCAGCAATTTTTACCCCAGCCTTGCATTTGTCAAGCCCCGCACATCGCATGATGTGTTCTGCATACAAGTTGAATAGGTTGGGTGAGAATATACAACCCTGCCGTACACCTTTCCCAATCTTGATCCAGTCTGTTGTTCCATGGTCAGTTTTTACTGTTGCTACTTGGTCCTTATACAGATTCCTCAGGAGAGAGACAAGGTGATTTGGTAAGCCCATACCACCAAGAACTTGCCACAATTTATTATGATCCACACAGTCCAAGGCTTTAGAATAGTCAATGAAACAAAAATAGATATTTTCCTGAAACTCCCTGCCTTTCTCCATTATCCAGCGGATATTGGCAATTTGGTCTCTCGTTCCTCTGCCTTTTCTAAACCCAGCATGTACATCATTGAGGTGCTCAAGCTCCAGCGACACAACAAGGCGGCGATCCTTTGCTGGTGTCCAGTCAAGTGAAAAACAGTATTATAGAGAAGTAGTGACACAAAAAGAAGGCAGAAGTGTTTGTGGTAACCTCTTTTTGTTACCACTGCTGCTGTTCTTCAGATTTCATAAGGAGGTTTAGGATACTTTCCTATTTGAATACAGAGACTGCTAAATTGCTTAAGCTATGGACTACAACATCTGTAGCTTGCCATTATAGTAAAATAATAATAAAACTCTTTCCTTTAAAAATTAATACATTTTTGTATCACATGGCCATTAGACAGCTAGGACAGCACTTCTATATCAACTTCTCCAGACATATTTTCAATGGGAACTCATTTTCAGGCTGACTTGTGTAGGGTTTCAAGAATGATCCATGATGGCCTACTTGATATTTTAAAGGCACGCTTGTTCATTGATTTAATAATAATACGCCATATCTCTGCAGATATTATACTGTCCAGGGAATTGAGAAAATGGTCTTTCATTAGGCTTGTGCAGCTTTTACAAAACACTCTTTGAGGAAATTAATGAAATCATAATTTTCCAAAGTGAATACAATTCATTGCAGGTGGAGAAAAACAATCAAGACAGGCAGTTGATGATATGGAATGATTATATTTTAATTCATTTTTCTCCCCTCCCCCCCAAGAGACAATAAATACATAAAATAAAGGCAGCACATATTAGCTATATATTTTTTTAGATTTGCAATACAGAAGGAATGAAGCTAACAAACTGTCAGCAATAGCTTACTAGACAATAAGATTCACTCCAGGTATTTTGAAAGAAATCTACACAATAGCAGGAGAGGCCGTGAGGAAATTGTGACCACATTATTTTTCTTATTTCAGGATAGCTCCAGTTACTCCCACCAAAGGAAAGTAGTTTCTCAGCTTCGGGCTGCTGCTGTTTGAGGCTGCTCAGACTGTAGCTGCTTTCCAAGGTACTCCCTGAAAGACCGCAATGGGAAGGGGAAAGAAGAGATGGATTAAAAAAAGCTGCCGAAATGAATTTTCAAGAAAGAAAACAGTACTGAATACCATTTCCAAAACAAGCATTTAATTTCTTGCTTGTCAGTTAGGCTTTAGCCAGTTGAGAAATATCTCAAGTCTGAATTATAAAAGTATAATACCCGAACAGTAACCATTGAAGATTATACCAACAAAGTGTTTTCATCGGGTTTTTTGTGACGTGCCCAGAAGCTGGACTGGTTCCTATAATTTAACCCCATTGAATATGATCTAAAACAGGGGTCCTCAAACTTTTCAAACAGAGGACCAGTTCACGGTCCCTCAGACTGTTGAAGGGGCAGACTATAGTTTGGAAAAAATATGCACATTGCACATATCTTATTTGTAATGCCAAAAAAAATAACAATACAATATTTACAATGAAGAACAATTTTAATCAACATAAACTTAACAATATTCAATGGGAAGTGGGGCTCTGCTTTTGGTTGATGAGATAGTCAAGGTAATTGGGATTGTTGCTTTCTGAATGCCTTCAAGCCATTTCAGACTTAGGGCAATGCTGTGTCTAAAGTTTAGGATGGGGGCTGGATAAATGACCTTGGAGGGCCGCATTAAGTTTGAAGACCCCTGCTCTAAAACATCTGAACGATGATAGGTTGGGAAGGTTGGCCTATGTTGTCTAGCACTAGCCTTCAAGGATTTAAGCCCTTTATTATCTGAAGATGCTTGACCTGAACTCAGGATTTCCTATAAACAAAATGTGTCCTGTTTTACTTAGCTAGTATAGCAACCCTAATTTGGAGCTCACCCTCAAAGTTGTTCAACTCTGTTCTGGCTTATTCAACAACTAAACAGGCTCTGAGGCACTCTAAAACAAAACTGTCCCATTCCTTCAGCACTTTTTTTACTTTGTTATTACTTTCTCACCGTGTTCAGGTGAGTTTGATAAAGGATCAAAATTTAACAGATTCTAAGAAGAGTTTAGACAGAGTAATGGAGACAAAGGCTCTTCTGCCTCGCCATGAAACTTTGGGAAAGGAAGAACTACAACTTTATTAGCATTTTACTTCTCAAACTTAGAGATTGAAGTTAACAACAACAACAACAACTAACTTTCTTTATATTCCACTCTACCCAAAGGGACTCAGGATGGATTTCAGTACACATATTTGAAAAACATTCAATTGGGGGGGGGGGCTGCTATCGCTCCATCTTCCATGCCGAGAGCAGCTTTTGTTGTCCATAGACATCCTCCACGCTTAAAGTGGGACCTATTTATCTACTAACATTTCTATTTTCTATCTGCTAGGTGAGCAGTATCTGGGGCTGACAGTCGGGCACTCACCCCGATCCAGACTTGAACTGCTAACCTTTCGATCAGCAGGGTTTTCTGCAGCTTTGCAATTTAACCTGCTGTGCTAAGCCCGCCCCCAGAAGCAGAAGCAGTATGCAAGGGATCTTTGGTGACGACTTGTGTTTCCTCCTCCCAAAGCCACTCTGGAAATTGCCTCAGTAGTCTGAGGCCTTAGAAAGAGATGTATTAAATCTGCAAATAATCAAATCCATGAATGCCAAAACCACAAAAAACACCATCACTGCTTGATATATACTGGGATGCAAAGATTAAAAAACAAGTAGTAGATAATAAATTCCCAGAATGAAATCCAAAGAGAGAGAGAGAGAGAGAGAAGTGTAGTGCAGTTTCCTGAAGGAAAATACAGCTCTGCACAAAAGACAGATATAGAATATTAATTTCAAACATTAAAATGTTATATGCAGTTTCACATTATTGTAATTCTATTTCCTAAGGGGAGAACATATATTTGCAAGCTTGTTGATCAGAAAAAGCCTTGAAGACTTCCAATTTTTTGAAAAAAAATACTAGCTAAATACATAATTACATGTGCATTTTGTCTTATTAGTTACTAAGATTAGAATTCAAGATCAAAACTCTACCAAGCTTGGCTGTATAACTATACTTACTTCACTGTGTGGGCAGTGCTATTTATGGAACTGTCAGAATGGCTACAAAATGTGAGTTATTAAGTGAAAGATGATTTGATCATCCTGCCGATCGCCAGAGAAAAGATGCGAATCACAGTGGGAAACTTATTGACAGAGAAATAATCACAATGTCCTGTGCTTTTTATATTGCAGTTTTCCATGGCAATGCAGAATGAAATCTAGAGACACAAAAGAGATTGAGACTCCCAAAAGGGAGATGGCAAAAAGCAATGGTCCAAAAGCTAATGGAATAACATTCAATTTATAACACAATGTTTCAAATTTTGGTGTTGCATTTGAGGAGGTGACAGAAGTAATTACAATATTTGAGGCTGAAGTTTAGTGAAAGGACTACTATCTAGAAAGAGAAAGGTTTGAGGCTACTGAGGAAAGTACCTTCTATACTGTTTTTTCTAATCAATAAGAGTAATTACAGAAACTATTAATTCTTTTCTCCAAAACTGGGTTTCAAAGGTGCTTACAAATGAAAATGCAATGTACAGTAGCTAGTTAATGTGTGTGTGTGCCTTCAAATAACCTGCTGAACTACTTAGGGCTTTCTTTCTTATTTATTTATTTATTATATTTCTATCCTGCCTTTCTCGAACCCAAAGGTGACTCAAGGCTTTGCCATTGCCTTCTTCTTAGGCAAGGAGTTCTGAAATGTAGCCTACTTGGTATTCTCTTGCACTCTCCTTTCAAAATACTGACCAGACCTGACCCTCCTTACTTTCCGAAATCAGATAGGATCTGGTGCCTTCAGGACAGTTAAAACACATCAACAGTCAACATTAAATGAACTTCGTTTTGAACATAGAGCTAAATAAAGAACAACCTAAAAGCAGCACAATAAAAACAATACACAGCATCCTCTAGAAGTATTTTCTTTAAAAAGTTCCAGCACACAAAAACAAGTCTTTGCTTTTCACCAGAAGAATTTTAGACCCTTGTGGCAACTACTGAGAACACTATCTTTACCCAGAAAGACCATGCAGCCTATCAGATATTGACTAAATATCTAAGCCTTCCTCACTACTGGTTACATTGGCTTTTTTGGCTGCTGGGGGCAATAGTTAGAAGACACATTTTGGCCATCTCTTACCTAGGGTCTAAGAATCACATCACAATTAGATCAGCTTGACAACTCTACCCCATTGTAAAAGAGTAATGTGGTTTCTGTTTTAGGAGGAGGTTTTCGTTAAGAGCTGACCTTTAATCAGTAACTTGCAATTGATCTGTCATCCCTTCTTACTCAACCTTTGGGTGAGTAATCATTCTTCTACCCACCATTCCTTGCATTTTCAGCTAGACAAGATTACATGCCTTCTGAAAATGTTCAGAGACTTGGGGGACATCTACTACATTAAATCTGTTCCCTTCTACTTGGTTGAGGACATGAAAAACTTCTCAAGTATGCATGGGCCAACACTGTGGAGTTATAGAGGACAGACAGGTAATGTGAGCAGTGAATTATTCTTCCTCAACAGGAACATTTTAGAAGCCCATCTTTATTATTTTTCCCAAGGAACGGAATGGTGGTAATGGCCTATGCTAACCAAATGCATACTAGCCAGGATAGATGAGATTTTTCTACAGCTTATACATGTTATAAAGTATAATATATAAAGATGTAAGCCACTGATGAGTTTGAATTACAGGTAAATTGTCTCAAATAACCAATGCTATATTGACAAAACTACTCTTTCATGACATCTTTTTTCTTTCTTCCTGCAAATGCCATAATTGGGTATTTTAACAAAATTGATTCTCAATAGGATATCTAGGGAATGGGATCAAGGCATAAATTATGACTGCAGAATGAGGATTCAAGATATGCTTGAAGACAAAATGTAGCAGCTATGCTAAGGAAGTCTCCCCATGGATAAACTAAAACAATAATGTATTGTCGAAGGCTTTCATGGCTGGAATCACTAGGTTCTTGTGGGTTTTTTCGGGCTATAGAGCCATGTTCTAGAGGCATTTCTCCTGACGTTTCGCCTGCATCTATGGCAAGCATCCTCAGAGGTTGTGAGGTCTGTTGGAAGTAGGAAAAATGGGTTTATATATCTGTGGAATGGCTGGGGTGGGGCAAGGAGCTCTTCCCTGCTGCAGTTAGGTGTGAATGTTTAGCTGATCACCTTCATTAGCATTTGAAGGCCTGCCTGAGCCTGGGAACATCTGTTGCTGGGAGGTGTTAATCTGTGCCTGGTTTTTTCCTCTCTGTTGTTTAGCTGTTATAATTTTAGAGTTTTTTAATACTGGTAGCCAGATTTTGTTCATTTTCATGGTCTCTTCCTTTCTGTTGAAATTGTCCACATGCTTGTGGATTTCAATGGCTTCTCTGTGTAGTCTGACATGGTGGTTGTTGGTGTGGTCCAGCATTTCTGTGTTCTCAAATAATATGCTGTGTCCAAGCTGGTTCATCAGGTGCTCTGCTATGGCTGACTTCTCTGGTTGAAGTAGTCTGCAGTGCCTTTCATGTTCCTTGATTTGCGTGTTTGGGCGCTGCGTTTGGTGGTCCCTATGTAGACTTGTCCACAGCTGCATGGTATATGGTAGACTCCTGCAGAGGTGAGAGGATCCCTCTTGTCCTTTGCTGAACGTAGCATTTGTTGGATTTTCTTGGTGGGTTTGTAGATTGTTTGTATGTTGTGTTTTCTCATCAGCTTCCCTATGCGGTCAGTGGTTCCCTTGATGTATGGCAGGAACACTTTTCCTCTGGGTGGATCTTCATCTTTACTCTCATGGCTTGTTCTTGGTCTTGCAGCTCTTCTGATGTCTGAGGTGGAGTATCCATTGGCCTGGAGAGCCCAGTTGAGAGAAACATGGCTATCCACACCAACAGACAAAAACAAAAATTCCACAAACGCCAAAAGCAACAGCCGAAACCAGAACTGGATACATCACGGACCATCATCAACCTGACAGACAGACAACTCTCTGAAGACCAAGTATCCATACTAGCGAAAGGAGGAAACTTTGCTGTAACCGCCACCAGGATCCCAGTAGAAAACATCATTGCCAATGTTGAATCAGCAATTTATCGCCTCCCCGAGGAGGAAGCAGAAGAAGTACGAGCAGAAACAGCAAGGATCCTAAAAAAGGCAAAACTTCCCTCCAGTAACATTACTAGGAAGGAAAGACAAGCCATCAGAGAACTGAATTCAGATCCTGATATCCTCGTTATGCCAGCAGACAAGGGGAATGCCACAGTTATCATGCATACAGAACAATACAAGGAGAAGATCAGAAAACTCCTGGACCCTACTATATACAAAAAACTCAAGCAAGACCCAACTGCCAAAATAACCAAGAAAACCAACACCCTGATTAAGAACTCCTCCATAAACTTTGACATACGACAACAGCTATGTAAATCGGAAGCCCATCCACCCAGGCTTTATGGACTCCCAAAAATCCATAAGGACTCCACCCCACTCAGACCCATCGTGAGTGCCATTGGATCCCCCACATACGACCTAGCAAAATTTCTTGCTGCACAGTTACAAAGCCATATTGGGCTCACTACACACTACATCAAGGACTCAGCCCACTTCATAGAAAAAATCAGCAATCTCAAGCTAAATACAAACGACAAACTGATCAGCTTCGATGTGGTATCTCTATTTACCATGGTCCCGGTAGCAGACACCATGGCACTCATCAACCAGAGGTTCCCAGAAGACATCACGGCTCTGTTTCACCATTGCCTCACCACCAGTTACTTTCAGTGGGACAATGAATTCTACGAACAGAAAAATGGAGTAGCTATGGGGAGCCCTCTCAGCCCAGTCATAGCTAATTCCTACATGGAACACTTTGAAAAACAAGCCCTGGAGACAGCAACCAAAAAGCCACGATATGGTTCAGATATGTGGATGACACCTTCACCATTTGGAGCCATGGAGAAAAAGAACTCAACAGGTTCCTGGACCATCTTAACAGCATCCACCCAAACATCCAGTTCACCATGGAAAAAGAAAATGAAGGAAGACTGCCTTTTCTAGATGTCCTAGTCATCCGCAAACCAGATCAACATTTGGGTCACACCGTCTACAGAAAACCCACACACACAGATAGATATCTACATAAAAACTCCAACCATCACCCAAGTCAAAAAAGAAGCACCATTAAAGCCTTGGCAGACCGTGCAAAAAGAATCTGCGAACCCCACCTCCTCCAAGATGAACTGAACCACCTCAGCTGGGCTCTCCAGGCCAATGGATACTCCACCTCAGACATCAGAAGAGCTGCAAGACCAAGAACAAGCCACGAGAGTAAAGATGAAGATCCACCCAGAGGAAAAGTGTTCCTGCCATACATCAAGGGAACCACTGATTGCATAGGGAAGCTGATGAGGAAACACAACAGACAAACAATCTACAAACCCACCAAGAAAATCCAACAAATGCTACGTTCAGCAAAGGACAAGAGGGATCCTCTCACCTCTGCAGGAGTCTACCGTATACCATGCAGCTGTGGACAAGTCTACATAGGGACCACCAAACGCAGCGCCCAGACACGCATCAAGGAACATGAAAGGCACTGAGACTACTTCAACCAGAGAAGTCAGCCATAGCAGAGCACCTGATGAACCAGCCTGGACACAGCATATTATTTGAGAACACAGAAATGCTGGACCACACCAACAACCACCATGTCAGACTACACAGAGAAGCCATTGAAATCCACAAGCATGTGGACAATTTCAACAGAAAGGAAGAGACCATGAAAATGAACAAAATCTGGCTACCAGTATTAAAAAAACTCTAAAATTATAACAGCTAAACAACAGAGAGGAAAAAACCAGGCACAGATTAACACCTCCCAGCAACAGATTTTCCCAGGCTCAGGCAGGCCTTCAAATGCTAATGAAGGTGATCAGCTAAACATTCACACCTAACTGCAGCAGGGAAGAGCTCCTTGCCCCACCCCAGCCATTCCACAGATATATAAACCCATTTTTCCTACTTCCAACAGACCTCAACCTCTGAGGATGCTTGCCATAGATGCAGGCGAAACGTCAGGAGAAATGCCTCTAGAACATGGCTCTATAGCCCGAAAAAACCCACAAGAACCTAGTAAAACAATAATGCTTTTCAGGATGAGGTGCAAACCATTATTCTTAACTTGATGTCCTGAACCTGCATTGCTATTCATATCAAATCAAATATGTATGAGGACAGATGTGAGGATCATGCATATGAAATGTGTCACAACATGTAACAAAACCACTGGAGCAACAAGAACACAAGAAGCTTCAGATTACTTTACCAGTTTAATTACACTAAAAGCTATTTCAGATTTACCACATATTTGAAAGTAAGCCCATTTTCTAAAATTTGATATACTGAATGTCAAAGTAGGATTGCTTACAGAGTTATGACCCATATGTATGAAACACTGTCGAACTACATACTCAAGATGGACACATTATACTATCAACCATGACTTCCTACAGGCATTGTTTCAAATGGGAATGAGTGTTATCAACATATTGTTGACAGCAAACTCCAAAATGCTGGATGACCTCTTCCAGCAATTTTATGTTAGAGACAATTTGATAGGGGGACAAAACTGAACCCTAAGGTAACACAGTGATCAGGGCATTGAACAGGAGTCCTCCAATACAAACTTATGAGTTTGTGCCTCCAAGAAAGACTGAGAAAATAGCACTGTTCGAAGAGGTCACCGAGAGTTTTGGGTTTTGGTGTCAATAATTTGACAATGATACCCAATTCCACCTATCCTTCCCATTTGAGACAATGTCTATTGTCACGATCAATCAAACTAAAATTAATCCAGCGAAATCAAATGTGTACCTAGTCAATTCAAAGATATTGCAAGGAATAGGGTCTCTGTCTGTACTCTATGGGATCATACCTTAGTGTTCTCCTGAACTCAAGTTTGAGCCTCGATGCCAAGATTATAGCAATAGCCAAGAGTGCATTTCCACACCTAAAACAAACTGCCAGCTGTATCTATTCCTTGAAACATTACATCTGGTTTCAGTGACACATGCTTTAATTACATGTAGTTTGGGTTACTGTAATGCATTCTATGTGGGGCTGCTATTAAAAATTAATACCAAGTCACAGCCAATTAACACATAAGTGCTTAACCATTTCAATTGTCTCCTCTGGTTCCAGAAATCTGCAAAAATTGCTCACTTTGGCCAGTAACAAAAATTATTGGGCGACTCCATTTGCAGAAACCCTATGGATCCTCATTCCTTGAACTAAGACATGTTATAATTATGGAAAAAACACTTGACCAACTCATAAACTATAAACCTTATTAGTGGTCCATCATAGAGTACACAACATTCTAGTTGAACCACTGATGGGATATAGCATCATTTGACAGCCTGTGATAGAATTTGGCTCCCAGACTATCCCTGGCCAACAAATTTCCCATTGCTGATATTATGGGACACCTGTGTTTGGATACACTCCACAATTCAAGGCCAATGGAGAACCGTGTATTGAAACAAATAAACAATATCAAGTGTAACCTATTCTGCTCTCTCTACCCTCTCCCTCCAAAACAACACAAGAACGTTTACTCCCCAGTCTGTTCTCAGTCTTCATATCTTTTCTGAACCTAAAACTGCCAAGATAATGCAAAAGTTATCAAATAAGGTCACTAATGCATGGCAGGGGATTGGATGGCCTTCATAGCCTCTTCCAATTGTATGCTTTTATGATTCTAATATAAATGAATTTTTTTCTCTACACTGGACAACTGGACAACTGTTAACGTTTGGCCTTATCCTAACAGGGACTGCAAAAAGGGCCAACACACTACAGGCATCAAGTCTCCATTCGAACCACATATTTAAGACATGTGATCATTAATGACCTACACTTTGTGCATTGCAATAAGCATTTATTCTGTCAACACTTAAGTACAAGTTAACCATCACATACCAGTTGTGAACCATCAGCTTCTGCACAGCAAGCAAGGCATTATAGCGAACTTGCTGGTCTTCATGATGCATGTGGTTCATGACAAGCTGTTTTCCACCAAGCTGTTCAATCACACTAAAAGAGAAGGAGAAGCAAGGATGTTTAGTGGGCATCAACATTTCACTATGAAAATTTAAAAAGTAGCACATTTCTGAGTATAAGAATTGAATATAAAAATACACTTCTGATACTCAAATACCAATGAAGTTTTCTAGAACTGCACACCTTGTAACAAGATAAGAAATCTTGTATTGGCCCTTTCAAGTGGTACATGTTGCTGTCAAGCACTCCTCTCTAAGGCAGTATAAACAGCTGCCAAGGCACAAAGATGAACTTTCCCATCCTAACTACCCATTAGCTTCCCTGCATCTCTGCGCTATACAGAAACTACCATATTAAAACACAATACAATTACAAGAAATCTATAAAAGTTTTCTTGTAGTTCACCAGTAAAACAATGCTGAAACTGTAGTTAAGAGACCCAACCTCAGCAGCCAGTCAGTTGCTAAGAACTCCACTGAACAGAAAGGAAGTTCCATATCCCAGAGAGAGACACCAGTAAATACCCCTTTATTTGTGTTTTCTCTCTGTTCCTCCCCGCCCCCCTGCTCCTCTCTCCTGGTCCTTTGTATTATCTTAAAAATAAGGGCAGACACATATTCTCTTTCAGAAATCATATGAAGTTAGGCCCTATTTTTGGAACCTAAAAAATATGTGATCCTGCTCAGTCTGTGAAATAACAGGTAGCAATGAATGAGACAACAAGCGTGACACTACTGGTGTGCTTTGAAAAGAGAACTAGAACCGTAGTGTCTTAAAAGTTTATAATCATCACCCAAAAATAATACTTATCATGGGCATTAAAAAAAATCAGTTGTGAACCAAAAGGCCTTACTAGCTCCTTTCAGTTGTGTATTGTGCACAGGCCCTATGTTTTGTGTTGCTTCATGAAGTCAGTACTTTCAATTCCTGAAAAATATCAGCATTTAAACAAAATCCATAGTACAATAATATTGTCTATATGGTATACATATGAATCTCCCTTAGTTAACATCTTAAAATGCCATTTAAAATGTCATTTTAGAATCTTAAGGCATGTTCATGAGTTTGCATAGGAACTGAAGATACTACTACTGGGTCTTCATCTAGTCCGGATTAACCCCGGTCACAAAACATAAGAAACAGCTGTGTTATTACAACTTGATACCAACTCAAGGTACAGATGCCTCCATACCGTTTCCCTCGAGGATAGTGTCGGACATATTCTCCCACGTCATGAGCCGCCACAGCCAATACCTGAGGGTCATCGGATACCTCCAGAAGCTTTGTCAAAATTCTGTAATAGGGTTGCAAATAAAAAGTTAAAACACTAGCTTTCTTAAACTATCTAATTTGGAGACAGCGGTGTCTCCAATTTGCTAGGGACCAACATCCAAATGGTGCTCATTGCTTATTTCCTGGAAACTTGCCATGGAGGAGCCAATGGATCCCAAACTAGTACTGGTCCACAGACCACCAAATCTGAGTAGCACTGATTTACATGGTTCTTCCAGAAAAAAACAATTCAGAAGCTCGAAAAGATGGTGCAGAGATTAACTATTTGAATTACCACAAAAAAATAATAATTTCACAACACAATCCTATGCACATTTACACAGAAGCAAGTCCCATTGAGTCCAGTAAGCTTCTTCTCAACAAAGCGGATGTAGGTTTGCAATCTTAGTCTCTTAATGCTAATATAAGTATATACAGGGCATTCGGAGCTAAGCTTCTCATAAATCACAAAACGTGTCCTGCAACAGTTCTGAAAAGAAGTTTGGCTGATATTATGCTCCATTAGAGCTTCCAGGGATCTGGGGAAAGATCACACAAGACCTCAAATGCTTTATATCCTCCTGTTATTCCAATACAGGCAGTCCCCGAGTTACAAACATCTGGCTTACAAATTACTCATAGTTAAGAACGGGAGTGAGGCAATAGGAAGGGAGAGAAATCTACCCTCAGAAGGGAAATTCACTCCTGAAAGAGTTATCATGAAGAAAGGGTGTCTCAACTGAAGCTTTATCACAAATCCTTGTTTCTACAAGCCATTTTTTGAAAATCCAATTAACACAAGCACAGAGGATGAGGTGAAATCTTCTGAACAGGGACACAGACAGTAAAACAAGTGCCACAGGTGTGTTAACCCTTCTCTTCCCTATGCTATCCAAAGCTTATACCTCTACCCCCACCCCCTGAAAGAGCCTTTTCATTATCTTTAAGGTTGTGGAAGTCCATTTCACTATCTCTCCTGTTCATGAAAATGTCTTAAGACCAGGTAGATCCTTTTTTTCACACCAGGAAGTACCTGATTAGAACCATGAGCCACTTCTATAATGTCATCTTGGGGGGGGGGGGGGGTAAACTATGCAACTTTTTATATCTGCTTAATGTAACCCATATATTTTTACCCATATATTTTTGACAGATAAAAAATATGTGATTTTATGCATATTCATTGTTCCTGTGTGCCTTCAAGCCATTTTTGATTTATGACAACTCAAACATGTTTTCAAATGCTGAGAGTGACAGATATCTTATACATTTTTACCTCTGGTCAAGTCAGAATTCAGTAAGGCTTACTTCTATATCCTTTATAGCTAGGAATTTCCAGTTCAGACTTAGCAAACATGTCCAATAATAAATTGTTAATACATTACTTACCAAATCGTAACCTTATGAAAAAATTAAAAGATGCCTTGGGGGCAGGGAAAAAAGAAACATAACTGCTTTTCACACATATTTTTTATTGATTTTTCATTTTGTCTCTTAATGAACCATGCTCTTGATTATGTTAGTTCCAATCTGAATACAGTCAACCAACAGCATTATTAGCTGTTTACTTGTTTCAAAATCATTTCAGCCTTTTATTTGTGTAACTTAATTACTGAAGTGTTTATAGGTATGATATACTGCTACTGGATATTTCATCACAGTCATTACTTTCATTTACAAATATAAAAAGTGATAATTTGTGTTCTCCTGCCATTTCAGATGCAAACTGGCTAGACAACCTCTGGCCCTTCAGATAGGGCTGCTGGGATGGCAGAAGTCCCATAGTATAAGGGATCTCCCCTATTGAGGGTTGGAAAGCCTTTTCTCTTATATAGACTGACTCAGAGGCAGGCAAAAATTATGTATTTTATGTTGGTGGCTTTCGAATGTGCCCAACACAAGTAACATGATAACCACATTTTTCAAGACAAAAAGGTGGTTATCATGCCATTTATGACATGTACATTTAAGAGATAAATATATGGTTATTTAAATCAAAACAATATTTTCATTTGGTATTAGGCAGAACACAACTTGTTAACATCTACTTCCTAGTCAGGAACCCTGCATGTAATGAATTTTGGCTTATTGTTATTTTGAAAGCCTGAGAATATTACCATTAAATTATGTTGAATTGTAACTCCCAATTAGCATTCCCTGTGCCTATATACAATAGAGGCTGTAGTCCAGCATTTACTTGGTCTCATTCTGAAAGTGATCAGTTCAAAGGAATCAGTGATACAGAACACAATACATTTTCACGGGAAGACATCAAATGTTCCAACAGGCAGATCTAAATAGCTTGAGCATTTTTTGTTTAGATCCCATATTGTATTTAAGTATTTCTGTAATAAAATGAAAATACTGTTCCTTTACCTTGTGTACATATTTTAAACTGAACTTTGGCTATTCTAATCAACAGAATCTTTACAATTGGCAGTTACAAAATTAGAGGGGAAGGGAATGAGAACAACTTACTTCAACAGTTCATAATTCTTCTCATTTAACCTTACAGCATTTTCTCGCCAGAATTTCTCAGATTTGTGAACAGGACTCCATTCTAGCCTTCCTGATTTAAGCTCAGAACTGTACTCATCAAATGAACTGCAGAATAAGCAGACGATGAGATTGAAGAACATATCTGGAGTTCAAAAACAATGTATGGTATGACTAATGCAAACAGCAAGGTGATATTTAGATTTGTACATTTAAGTGGGAGAAATAATCCTTTTAAAGCTTTTGCTACAGTTAAGAAGCTTTATAAAGCTTACTGCAAAAACAACAGGTGCCACTTACAATCATGATTATGAGCACATATACAGTAAATATGTTAACATCCTAAATTCACTAACAGACTTTATTATTATTATTGCAATAACTACTCTAAGTTTCATATATGTTCTGACCGGATTGGCACCACCTGTTTCCATTTTCTAAAAGGCAAAGCTTCCTTTTAGGAAATAAATAACACCAGTCTGCCTATCTATAATACTTACCAGATTTTATATCCCTGGACAAGGTGGATGTCAGGACAGACATTCTATTAAATCCCAGAATCTCAGAAAGTAAATCTGTAGCACAAAATGTACTTATCCTTCCCAACAGGAAATGGAAACACCTTAATCAAGATTGGGCTTCATATAGCTTTCCATATACGAATGGACTCTAGTTCCTATCAAACCTTGATGACCTATGAATGTAATGTTTCTGTCCCTAAATGTGCGGTCTGTCATCAGCATGATTCAGCCAGATAAAATCACGGGAGGAGATCACAAAGGTTTGTTTTGACAGCAGTAAAAATGTGTCTGAGGAATTAGGACCATACAACCAGAAGGAGTACACTATGGACAAGGCCCTACATTCAGGAATAACAATATCTATCAGCACTTGCAGATCTGTAGGCACTAGTCATGAGTCTGGTAACCATTTCAGCCATTTAATTCGTGTTTTTGTATTATTTGTTTCATTCGGATGTAACAAAATGGTACACACCCCTCTAGTACGGAAATATCAGTGAAACAAAAGGAAAGTGGGAATGGTAACCATTTGGTCGCCTGATTTTCGCCACTCAGCTGCAAGCCCTGGCAGGCACAGGTGCCTTGGGCCTGCAACGAGTGCCAGTGACTAAAACTGAGAGGAAGGAGAGCATGAGAAGCCCACCCATTGCTGCCAATGGGATGAAAATATTCATTTTTTTTCAGACCTGGGATAAAAAAGCTCATTCGGAAAGGCACCTGTTTTTGGGAGAGGCACTCAAAAACTGGGCCTTATGAGTGAAACAACAGAAACAGATAGTGATTCTATACAAATGCACAAGATTAGTAGGCACCTCTTCTATTAGTATCAACTTCATTAATTACAGTCTTGTCCTAAACTGGTCATCTTAGTTTATTGTAAAATATATCACTGAGAAGGGAGGTGGGAGGAGCAAGATGGTGAAAAATGAACAGCTTTTTGTCTTACCTTGATAGGTAGCCATTTTTAAAAGTTGGACTGTTGTCCCAGGAAAGTGAGATTCAGTTTAGCACGTTCTATAGGGAGACCACTATAAAACTCTCTTATTCTGTTATGTGCTTGAGCCCTAGGAAAGATGCTTGACTTCCTAGGTCTTGGTGCCAGCTTTAGAAAAAGAGTACACTGTGATCTTGTCTTACCATCCTATAGGAACTTATTTTAGGTTAGGTGCATGTTCAAATTGAGACACTTGTGCTATTTTTAAATGCCTGCCAAATTCCAGTTCTTACAGCAATGATGCATTGCTTTGTGTGAATAAAACATTATTGAGTAATTACATAATAGAACAGGGCATCCCCCATACAGACGTCTAAGCAGAGTCTATTTGTGATGGTTAAAACTGACAGCTATCAATCTGTGTTCCTTTCATGGATTATAAGAGGGAACTGCCAGTGGTACAAAGAATGTAGTCATCTAATATTACCATTATTTTTAAAAGACTTTTTGATTCTAGAGATTTTCATTATTATTTCTTTCAAACAGTTCAAAATCTGCAGCATCTGAAAGTATGATTAATATAGCTATCTGTGAAATAATTAGGATTTTATTTCATCTTGACATATGATTAGCATACCTTTCCACCCTAAAGACTGCTTTGAACATTTTTTCCCCTAAGATAATATTCACCTGAGATCCTGGACACTCTCGCCAAGTTTTTCTAACAGGAACTTGATATCCTCACTTATGTCTTCATCATCATATTTTTGTTGTTCCAAGTTCTCTAGCTGCTTTAGAACTTTGCACTGGATCATGGCAAGAGCATATTCCTGGCGGGTTTCCCTTTCAGTAGACTTCTCTAAAAAGTTCTGGAAAGTAAAGAATAAAGGACCCCAACTACAGTCAGTTAAAAAAAAATACAGCATTCTCTACAAAGTATATAGCTTCAATCCACTGACTCAGTCTGTCACTGTTGAGTTTCATTGTTGAGATATCATCCTAATGTTGAATATTCTTCTAGAAATAATCTAACAAAGCTGCTAGAAACTTATGGCTTTAAGAAAGCTGTAATGCCAAAAAAGGAATTAAATGTGGGTTAAATATATAAAATTTAATTATGGTATGAGTAAGAGTGGTAGCAATTAACTTTTTTAAATTAAGGTGTGAACGTGGAAGTTACAAGAGCTGCATAACTCTGAGATGACCACCTGGCCTAAGCTCCCTCCATGCTCAAGAAAGCTGCATGAACAGGAGGAGGAATACACAGGCAGGATGGTACAGTTTACTCAGCTGAAAACTCCTCTCCTATATCATCTCCAGCATGAGCTAACTACTATTTCAAGCACCAAAAAAAATTGTTTCCCATCTCTTCTGATAAAGGTCATTACTGTCTGACAATATTCTGACCAAGAATATTAAAGTAAAAATAGGTGGGATTCCTTAAATTCCAGCAGAACAAGGATCAAATAAGCATGGCATTGATCATGTGATGTCATATGAATAGCTGATTCATCCCAAGTCAATGTAGAACAGGAGCAACTCCAACCAGAACTGGAATAGGGAACCTTTAAACAATTGTTGAGGTGGAAATCATGATTACAGCAGAAATTGAAGAGTTCAAGTCTTTCTGATTGGATCACTATCATTGCCATTAAAACGTTACAAATCTCTCTACCAAAATGCATGGGTTTGGTAGGTGTACCTAGGTGCAGGATAAAATGGAGCAGGCACAAGGTCAAAAACATTTATTTGAAAGTATTTCCATATATCCTTATATATGATTGCCTATATTCTTAATATTCTAAAACACGAATACTCCCAAATACTGTTTTTTTTTAAATAAAAAAAATGTTGCTTAGAATTATACCTAAGCTAAGGTTCCATACTGCACTTCAGTATTAGCCATGACTCTTCCCAGCCTTTACCTCAATTAAATGACAGATAGTATGTACTTGTCTGGCATTTCATAGCTGAGTTCTTATCATGAAGTCTTCACTCACATCCAGCAGCTGAAGCAGTGAACCCAGCTGTTCTCTCACTGTCAAACTCTTGGGTATCTTGCAAACTACTGAAAACTGAGTCTTCTTCACTGTCTTTTTGCTGCAGATTCTTCTCAGCCCTTTTATTCTCCAGTAATTTCAGCTCTAGTCCCACAGCCTGTAGTTTCTTCCAACTCTACGGTTCTATGTCTTCTGCTGCTGTCTTCTCCTTGGGTCTTCACATCTTGAATTTCACTGGAAACACCACCTTTTATGCATCCTAGTGAACTCAACACTCTTAGTCCTTGCTTTAGCTGGTCACTTTTCACAGAGGATTGCTAATCCTCTCCTCTCCCAGAGTGGTTGAATCTGGAATTATTTATTTGGATAAATATCTAGCTTTAGAACTGGCCTGACAATCACCTTCTGGCAGTTGAAAAACCAGCAACAGACACTCAACTCATTAAAGCTTTGATCTCAAGCTGTGGGTACCCAGGAGTTTGGGCCTACAATACCCAGAAATCCCAGACAGTTTACCAGCTGTTAGGATTTCTGGGAGTTGAAGGCCAAAACATCTGGGTGCCCACAGGTTGAGAACCGCTTTATTAAAGATTTATCTGAAATGCTCAACTCACAGTACTCTCCCCTTGCCTTCTCTGATTGGTTGTTTAAACATAACAGTACCCATTATATACAAGTTAATATTATAGTCACACTCTGCTTCACATCAGGGCTGCTTCTCTGAGTGACACTGCTCCCAATGGAGCTCATCAACCATCCTTCTATGGTAGCTATTACTGAAAAAGCAAACAGCTACACAAATCCAAACTATGTTCCAGAATTTGCATAAAGATTGGCATCTAGACTTACAGCAACATTGGCCTTCATTCCAGATTATTTACATCACTTACCCGGAAAGCTGCCAGAATAATCCTGGTTACTTTCTCTTTTACAGATTCCTGAAGGATGTCAGACAGGACTGGAACAATGTTATAACGCCGCAGATGCTCACACATCTGAGGACTAAATGCCAACAGCCAGACAGAGAAAATCATCTGATACTGAAGCTGGAAGCCACATTTGTTACTCAGTACTCCCATAATACTGGAAGGGAAGAAAGGAAAATAGAATAGACCATTAAAGAGAAGCCAAACACCCACCATTTGTGATCCAAAGTGTCTGTAATCTTTTGAAACGCCTACTATCAAAATGAAGAAAGAAATCTAAAACTAAAATGCCACACATTTTGGCAGCCATTTGGAAACACTCAGTTCCAAGTACCAATTTACTCAGAATGTTTTCATATCAGACATGTTGCATTTGTAAAAGAAAGGATTTTTGAATGCACAGGCCATTACGTGGAAGCAGATGAGCAATAAACAAAGACAACAGACCATTATTCAGAAAGTCTGGAGCTTTCAGACTTTGAACAGAATGACAGCCCATAAGATGCCATGGTTTTGCTAAACTGACCTTAACACAGTGTTTAAAGACGTAACATTTCTAAAATAATTCCCAGGTTTCTATGTGACACTCAAGGCTTAGTCCAACATTGGGAAGATTAATCAGAACTGTAACATTTACTCGCAGTGAGCAGAAAAGTCATAACATGGCTGCACAGTGCATATTGACTCAGAAGGACGGCCCATTGATCTCTACACATCCAAACTATTAACTATGAACAGACTGTCACATAAATAAAACATTTTCCTTTATTTTTGTAAGTTCTGTAAAGTTTGTGGATCATCTGAGTCATACATAATGGAAATGCAAGCACAGAAAACATTTCTGGAAATGTTTTCAGTTAATCTCAGCCAGTGAAACATTAGATGCTGTTGTTATTATATTTATATTTCACTTTTTCTCATAAGAGCTCAGGGAAGGTAATAGTGTAATGCTGGCACTGCTATCAATCTTTCTGAGTTTTCAGAATACAATATACCACAAGAGCTCAATTCCTTGCTGCTGGCAACAGTTTGTCCTGTATTTAGAAGCCAGTAAACTCAGTTGGTTTCAAGAAACTGGAATAGTGCATGAAAGTATGACAAATAGTCTTCTGAGTTGCTGACATATCACAGTAGAGTTTTGAGGAGGATATCAAAGTATAATCAATTCACCGACATCCAATTCCCATTCACAGCATGCAGGAATAAAGCTTCACAAGTTGAAAGAGCCATTTACAATTCTCATGTTGGTCTTCCACTATAATAGCATTTTACTGAAATTTCTCATTTTTAAAAGAATTTGTTTCTATGATAAATTACAAAAAGAAAGATCTTTTGACAGATAGTGGTATACTAGTAACTACATATCTTCAGAACACACAAACTGCCTGTATTTGCTGCTAATGTTTTTTATGGCACTTTTTTTTAAAAAAAAAGATACTTAAAAAGCCCAAACATTTTAGTCTTTAAGGGAGATGTTCCAGGCTGTTGATTGTTTTGGTTGCTTTTTTGTAGACTTACTACTTCCCCCCCCCCCCCCCAAAAAAAAAAAAAACATGCTAAAGTCTATTGTAAAAGGAATCCAAACTGGCAATACTGTAATTCTGTCATACAATCAATTGATTATTGTATATTTCTAGTTGACCAGGCTAAGAAGAAGTGGTATTATGTAGCTTGTAAATTTATTCAGGAGACCTTTGGTGTCAGATTTTGTTACACTATATAAGCCTCAAAATATTACATCTGCTCCTTCATTCCTATCCACATGCTTGTTAATATTTCAGAGAATTGCAAGCTTCTAGTTATAAAAAATATGCTAAAATTCCTTCCCAGGAAGATTGTTCTTAAGACAACACTAAAATACAGCCCTGCTGTCACCCACATCATGATTCACCTTGCCAGCATTTTAAATCTGGCTATAAGACACATCTAATAACAGCCCCTGCTCTGCTCTCCTTTGCCCAATAAATAACCATGTAGTAAGGACTACAGCAGATAAAATGCAAGTCTTGATGAGATATTGGTCGTTGTGCATCTTATTGATTTCTAACCTGTTTGCACTCTAGCCCAACCTCCCACAACGAGACTTGAAGTATGTCTTTGGCTGTTGCTTATGATGCCTGTTTAGTTATTGTTATAATGTTGTTTTATGCTGTTTTATATTGTTATATTTTATATACTATGTTTTTAACTTTATGATTAGGCTTGGCCCCATGTAAGCCACCCCGAGACCCTTTGGGGAGATGGAGGTGGGATATAAAAATAAAATTATTATTATTATTATTATTATTATTATTATTATTATTATTATTAAGTTAGACATATCCCATCATAAGTCACTAACAGAATGCCAGCAATTTGACTTTAAAATAACTATAATGGTGCCCCTACAGGGCAGATGAGTAATTTCACAACAATCCCCCCTTTAAAAACCCACACATTTTTAGTTCCATTTTTTTCACAATTTCAAGGAAAGGAATGAGCTTTCACTTTTAGTCTATATAACACAGTAGAGGATCACCAAGAAAATATATAAAGTTTATAAAGTTTGCCTTTTGTTTCTAACAAATACTCACCAGTTTACTCCATCCGATTCTACCCATGCAAAACGGTATTCATTTACTCGGAGCATCAACTGCAAGCATCCAGCAACGCACTGGACATACTGTGAACTCTATATGAAAAAAATGATACTAATTAAAAAAACCTTTTAAAAACCTTTGGCAAAGTGTTGCAGTCAAACATCTGGGAACAATTAGGAAGTCTCCACTTATCTATAGATTTTTCATTACAAGAAAGACAACCAATACCTGCAGTTATTGCAAGGCTAGATCCAGACTCCAATCCAAAAAAAAGAGTGCTGGTTGGACCATAATATAGTTCAGTGAATGATTAAATTAAGTCATCAGTTGTTTAACTCATTAATACTTTCGCTTGAGCAGGTAGTGGGTACTAGTATACAATAGAAGAAACCCTTCAACTGTTTCTCCAATGTCATTAACAATATACTTTTTTATTCTCTATACTCCTCTCCTTCCTCGGGTAAATCTATCAGACACTTATTGGGAAAAAAATACACCAGATGGTCAATGAACAAGTCAAGGCCAAACCTTTCAAAATTTCTTGTGGAACAACATTTTTCCAAGAATACTCTGTACTAATGGAAACATGAACAGGTGAAATGAATCACCAACAAAGAGCCAAAACAACAATAGAATGCAGACAACACTTTGATTTCAGAAACAATATATCAGAACAAAATGTATTTTCTCTATTCCAAGGTTAAATCCAACCAACTATGGAAATTACAGATCATTTAAGGTTCCAACTGTATCATAAAATATGCCTACCTCAAATTTGAAGAATTATCACATGCTGCCATATAAACAATAATATGAAGCAATGGTTTTAGCAGGGCTCAATTCCCTACTTAACTGTGAAAGCCCACTGAATGATTTTATGTAAAATACACACACTCTTGTCCCCAGGAAACTCCACGTAAGCCCACCTTTGGTCAGTGTAAGTTGGAAATAACTTGAAGGCACACAATAATAATAATAAAATTACTACACTATCCCTTTTTGTAAATGAAAATGGGATTTTACTTCACTGAGTTACTTCACTTAACTATTTGTTAGGTTCTGCCAAACTTGATACATCACTAGGTGTATTTCCTGCTGGTTGGACATAATCTGGAGAACTGTCCTCTCTCAAAGGCTAACACAGCACTTGAGCCTAGCAAAAGGACTTAGGAAACACAGGAACATTTAAAACCATGTTATTAGAAATGCAAATATTATCGTACTCATGGTCCACAGGATGAACAGCTGAAACATTTTGAGAAGCACCACTTAAAGCAGAGCAAACAACAGGGTATGGTCACAGAACTCACTGAAGTCCTTCTGAACATTAGGTAGAAATACAGTAAACAAGTTATTTTTGGAGTCCCCTAGTGCCTTCATATTTTTCAATTGAGTTATATTTAAAAATCCATAGACCTTGTTTATTTGCTACCATGTTTTGTGTTTTGGGCACTATTAAAATGTTTTGTCTGTGATTATCTGACCATGACTGCAACCAGTTGAGTTTTTCTGCGCTATTGGTGCAACATGTGTATGTATTCTTATAAGCAAACAAAAACGTGACAGCCTCAAGGCCATTATAGGACTGCACTTCTTTTCAAAGAAGTCTCTGAAATGCCAAAATACATGTATGACATATAACAAGGAATATGAACAGCCTGAAACATAAAGTATCAGCATTTGTTCTGCCATGAGAACACTAGTTAGGATACTGAGTTTCAACCTATTTACACAGGAGGACAGGCTGTAGCTCACTCTGCAATTCATGGTTGAAATATCTCTTTCTTAAAAGGCTGAAGAGTATTTCTGATCTGAATTGCTGGGCGTGGAGGATTCAATTGTTCACAGCACTTATCTATCACTCCTCAACCCACCAGTATGTCCAAGATTATTTACAACAGATTAACTACATTTTCAACACTAATGTCCTCTAACCTTCTCTGTCCAGCCTCTCAAAATTCTTAGAATGTTGCAAAAGAGGGAGCTAGTAAAAAATGGGGGAAAAGGAAAAAGCAATTAGTGTGGCCAATTCTAAGGAGGACAGGAAGGAGAACGAGGTAGATTTAAGAGACAGATCGGGAAGGCTACTGGTATAGAATAGTGACTGAGGATGAGTGTTAGACTATGTCTCTGGACACCAGGGTTCACATTTGTGCTCAGACATGGCAACCCACAGGGCAACCCTGGGCAACTTAAACCCTCCAGCCTCACAAAATCAAAGGCAAACTCCATCTGAATAAATCTTGCCAAGAAAACTCCATCATAAGGTTAATGAAACAACCTGAAGCCACACAACAACAACAACAACAACAACAACAAATAATTATTATTCATACTGCATTTAGTGATGCTTATATTTAAAGAAAATCCTTGAAAGTAAAGCCTTTATTGTTTAGCATTCAATTTCAGCATGAGCCTTCTTTGTCAGAGGAACACTACTAGAGGCCCGAGGAAACTTATGCTTCCTACTTTTTAGAATCACCTCATTTACTCCATGATAACTTAGTGTGCATTCTGGAGAAGTGGACATCAGAATGCATTACAATGCATTTCCCAGTGTCAACAAGATAATGACTTATGAAGGGTAAAATAAATGATACGGGGTTGGGTGGCAGTAATTGCACCTTTGTGACACTCAAAATTGCAGGGCAAAGCAAAGCAGTCTCAATCTCCCTAACAAACCGTCTCCTGAACTTGGAACATCAAAGATCAGGAAGCAGTCTCAAAGGGAGACAGTGGCTGCACTGCTCTGCAAAGAAAACAGAAGTTGCATTGCCTCCCCAAAATTGAAGCAAAGCAGAGCTACTCAATTTCCCGGAATAATGCCTCCCAAATTCAGAACCTCTAAAGTTGTTCTAAGGTCAGGAGAAGTCCTAAACCTGTATCAGTGAGGTTCAGAAAGTAGTTTTCCAGGGATATTGCTACTGTTCCACTTCCCCAGAAGACCGAGGGAAAGCAGAAATGCAACAATGGTCCACCAATTGCCTTCTATACAGCAGCCGGTTTCCAGAGGTGGTGGTTGACAGGACAGCAGCGGTGTTCGAACAGCAGTGTTCCAGTCTGGGGTATTCATATTGACACAGCAGCCTCGATGGTTAGCAACAGCTATAGCTGATCTGATCTACAACAGCAGTGCCCCCCCTCCCCAAAGGAATCCCAAGGGTGTCACATGAATGTGTATACATTAATGTGTACAGGAATTTTCAAAAAGGGTGCAGCAAATTCAAGAATATTCAAATCTGCAAATGCCAAATTTGCAAATGTGGAGGGCTGACTATACATAAAGGTGGAAAGAGACAATGTAAACCTACCAACTCAATCAATCAAAAAAGAATGTAAAAGTTCAATTCTTCATAAAAAGCATATTATAACTGTTTACACAGCTCACCTACTTCATTGCAATTTGATAGGCATTGTGTCAGGAGATTTTATTGTGTATATATATATATATATAGATCGAAATGTCAGAACTGTGGGATTTCACATTGCCACCTGTCTCTGGAAAATGCCCACAGGTATTGAGAGTCATTTGTGAATGCTGACAATGACAAATAGTTGACAAGCTGTACAAGCAGTAGCCAATCTCCATATTTATTTTATGTCATGTTTTTAATGTTTGAGCATAACTGCTAACTATCCCTAGAGCTATCCCACAGCTTCTACTTTTTGACATTTACAGCAACATGTACAGTACATAAAGCAGTATGAAATCTTTTTTTAAAAAATCATGCAACTTTCAGCCTTCCTTGGGAAAAAATTGCCTCTCTTTAAAGTCAGCTCATGCACAATCTGTTAGAGAAGCACAAGAACCAAAAGTTTATATCCCAATTATATAAAGCAATGCACAATTCACAGTTTACCCTGAATAAATAGTTCCGACTCTATTCTGACAGTGCAAAAATGAAGCCTTTCATTGTAAAGCACAAAAAATTAGTAATTCTTGGCCTACTTATTGACTTTCATTGAACTGAAAGGGACTTGTGAATAAACATACTTATAACTGCCCACACTAAGTACAGGGGTTGTGTGTGAACTTGTTAATCAATAACAACTGCATGTAAAACAGACCGTATATGCCATATTATTATTAAGCAGATGCATATGTAAGAGTACTACGAAATTACCAAGATCCGCCAACTGAATGATTATTTTGCCATTAAATGGACAAATTTATTTCTAAAACGAATAAACAAATAAACATGTACTAAAGGATTTAATTTTCAGAAAATTTTCCCTGGATTTAAACCACAATTAGCTTTGAGCTAACTCACAAACTTGGGGGCCACAGATGATATGCTAACATCAAATTTAATTACAATATAAAAGGTTCTACGGTAGGACCCCTGCAATAGAGCAGTAAATTTTCTGAAATGTCACACACTTCCAGCAGGAATACTTTCAAACCCCTGCTCCATTTCCACAAAAATGTTATGCTGCAAATCTTGACACACTTCACACTTAACACTCTTATAGTTCTCAGTCCAGATAAGCAGATGCTACTCACCACTAACTAGGAACATGTACCATTTTGTGCACACTCAATTTCTGAAAATACAGCATAGATTCCTCATCATATTATGGCTTCTGCCTACCTGCGTGACCGCATCTCCGTTTATGAACCCACGCGCTCCCTTCGTTCATCCGGAGAGGCTCTGCTCACGATCCCACCTGCGTCGCAGGCGCGTTTGGTGGGGACGAGGGACAGGGCCTTCTCTGTGGTTGCCCCCCAACTTTGGAACCCCCTCCCCAAAGACATTAGACTAGCACCCACGTTGACAGTCTTTAGGAAGAACTTGAAGACCTGGCTATTCCGATGTGCCTTTCCGGAATAGGATAAGCACTTTATTAGAGTTTAAGACTCTCTGCACATTGCACTTGCCCAGAAATCCAACATACCACTTGCCACACCCAGCACTTTTTAACCTGTACCCATCACTGGCCCGGCCCTGGTTTTTATTGCGTTTCGTGTAATGTTTTGTTATTGTCTATGTTTTAATTGCTGCTTATGTTTTAATTTGCTTTGAATTGTATTGTTATTGTTTTGCTGTTGTTGTGTTGAGGCCTTGGCCTTTGTAAGCCGAATCGTGTCCTTCGGGAGATGCTAGCGGGGTACAAATAAAGTTTAATAATAATAATAATAATAATAATAATAATTCTGTTTTTTGTCTGAAACAATTATCTGTTTCTTCTTCCTTGTCTCCTATATCTTTGAGATTCACAGCAACAACTACTGGTTCCAGAATAGCTAAAGCGGAAATGCTACTCAGTATTTCTGCTTACAGTTAGTACTAATAGTGTTATCAATCAGGGGTAAAAAAAAAGTACAGATACTCCTCCTTCCAGCCCTGATCTACAATTTTTCAGGCAAAGGGTCAGATGCCTCTAGGAATGGTGATTCATCTTTTTTTAACTGGACATAGCATTCTCCTCTGAAGTAAAACACGTTCTAAAAATGCCTGTTTTCCCTCAAATGTAGATATGGCCCTCAAATTACTTACAAATGTGTTCTTTCCATTTCATTTAAAAAATAAATCTGGTAGTTCAGATACCTTCCAGACAGTCCCAAGAATGGAAATGTGGTCCCAAAGCTCTATTGAGTTTGTCCACACTGCCACAAATGTCCCAGAGCTTGTAGGCAGATAAAACTAATGTCCCAGATATAACCCAAGGAAAGACTCCAAACTCTTCAAAAAGTTGAGAGTTAAGGCTCTACTGTTCAAAGCTGAGAATATACTAACATATCACTAACTTTAAGCGCCAAATCCCCCAAATTACATTGAGCTTTTGTTATGTAATTTATGGGATCTAAATCATTACTAACTTGCTTTATTGACTTCCCTTGCTTTCCTTGGATTTAAACCACAATTCCACAGAAAAACTATGACATTATGGGCATACTTACATCAGTTCCAGGATCATTAGCACTTCCAGAACTGCGTAGTTTCTAGTGTTAAAAAAAAAAGATTCACAGTAGGAAATACTAGATTTACTTACTTACTTTATTTTTTTTTCTACCAAAGCAGGATCCAAGGTTGCTTACACAATAGATTAAAACAGCATCAAGCTAAAAATCAAATATTACAGTACAAAACAACAATTAAGCTGTCCTACTAAAAACATTGAATCGTAACAAATGAGAAAAGTACAGCCTCACCCAAAAGCACCAAGAACAAAAACATTTTCACAACAACCAATTGCTGTCCAAAGGTCTGTCGAAATGGAAAAACTGCTTGCCTACAAAAAAAATGGAGTGGCAAGGCCAATCTCACTTCTGGTGAGAGGAGCTGCATATCAGAAAGGCCTTTTTTTCTGTCCTCACCAAATGTGCCTATGACAGTGATGGGACTAAGAGAAAACTTTCCTCTAAGAAGCCAAAAACTTCAAGTTCATATGAGAAGGCATAATTTTGAATATGAAAAGACACAGCTTTTATATGCAACAGAGAAAAGACAGAATAAGAAAACATCAGATGACTATACCTGTGAACTAAGCTGGGTTTTAATCCAGTTAAAATAATAATTTAAATCACTTCCTTCCATCAGTTCTCTTCCCCAGGCTGCTAGTTTGGCAATAATTCTTGCTGCCTAAAAGAAAATAAAGAAATTAAGTTTTCATATGTGCCTAACCAAGGACAGAAAGATAAAAATTAGTTGGAAATGATTTTTGGAATTCCTCTTCTATCCCCAACAGTTACCAATATCTCATTTTCCACACTTTTTAGATGGTTCCTCAACTCTTAAGCTGAAGAAGAGTTCACAGAACATTTCATATGCTAGTTCTAATAAATTACAGTAAGTGTTGCAGTGCCATGTCTGCACAGCTGAAGGACTACAGGCCAAAAATGTCTAACACTGGCAGTGAGGTTTTTAAATTTGGTAACATAAACAATTTCACATATCTGCAGTCCCCTTTCAAGTCCAATAGTTTTGTTTGGTTCACCTTACCATATGTACAGTGAAAAGATCCTGTCGATTCAACATGGGAAGGAAATAGGACCATGCAGTGTTCTTGCCCCGCCTTGCAAGGTCAAAGAAAATACTGACACGCTGGTGATTCTCCTGTAATAGATATGAGCAGAAACAAAACTGGATGTACTGCAAACATGTTGAAGAAAAGTGTTAATCTGAACAAAATAGGAAACATGGCCATGACGAACACAAGACCTTCTATATCCTATATACTCATGTATAAGTATAGAAATTTTAGTCAAAAAATCAACCCAAAAAACCGGGTCAGAGAAAGGCAGATAGTGAAAGAGAGTAGTAAAAAAGGGCAGAGAGAATGAGAAAACCCCTTTGGAGGTTTAGTCTTGTTTTGCCCCCCTGATCTTCATTTCCCCCAAGATGGTCTGATAGATAGTCACAGATCTTCTACATTTGCGGAGGTTCTCCACTCTCCATGAATGTGGAGGGACAACTGTATAGTTTATCAGCAGCATGAATTTATTTGAGTTGTTTTCTATTCCATATAGTCTGTTGTTATTCATATGTGTACTTTGTTTCACTCCAATTTGCAAATACTTTTCTATTGGTAAATTAACAACACAGGATACCTAACAAGATGAACCAGAACTTGAACATGTTCCTTTTTTCTTACATTTTACCAGGATAACAAGGAGAATTGTGGGAGTTGCGATGCAAAAATAATTTTTTTTTCCAAACTCTGGTCTCCATCTCTGCATTATACTGCAATTACTTATGAGCTGATCTGAATACTCAGATCCACCAAGCCACAGTTTTGCCTAGACCACATTTGACTAGTTTGTTTGCCAGAAAATCATGAGGGACCTTGCTGAAGACCTTACTGAAATACAGATACGCTACATTCACGGCATTCCCTGCATCTACCCAGCTTGTAACTCTATCGAAAAAAGAGATCAGATTAGTCTGGCATGACTTGTTTTTGATAAATCCATGTTGACTATTAGCGATGACAGTATTCATTTCTAAGTGTTTGCAGACCACTTCCTTAATAATCTTTTCCAGAATCTTGCCTGATATCAACATGAGTCTGAATGGACAGTACGGTAATTGTTTGGGCCATTCATTTTTCTCTTCTTGAAAACAGGATCCACATTTGCCCTCCTCCAATCTGCTTGGAGAACAGTACTTCTCCCGTTCTTCAAGAACTCACAAAAATTATATTTATTTATGCCCTGCTTTATCTCCCCATAGGGAGGCTATATTTCATTGGACAGAATTGTCAAAACCATCCCAGCATTATATTCTTTGCCTAAGAAAACTCTATAAAATTCAGTCATATCAAATTCGGTTACACATTCAGCGTGAGTATTCTTCAAGTACTTTCTCCAGAGTACAAAGTAAAGAGAGGATTTAGCAGGGAGTCTGTTTTTCATGGTATTGCTGCACAGCCTCCGTTTGTTTCAGCCAAGTGGGTACACAAGTACCATCAAAATCAAGAACAGCCACTCAGTAAAAAGCCTTGTATAAAAGGTGAATCTAGCAGAATGACACCCACACTGAGGTAATGTATCAATGAACACTAAACATAAAAAGGTTAATTAACTTACCTGTAGCATATCATCAACCATAGTTAGAATATATTGAACTGTCTGTTCCTTGGAGATATGAGTCATCAGGTTTATGAAAGTCTTAGCACACTAGGGACAAAAAAAATCAATAAATTGAAATACAGGTATATCTCAGTTAATGAAATACATGTGTTCCCGAGCATTACTTCTTCAACAGAAATTTTGGTAGCAGAGGAAGAAATAATGGGAAAAATACAAATAGATTCCTGTACCATACACAAACAAACAAACAAACAAAAACAGTTCAATAATTTTCAGCAAACTACTTACCCAAAAGCAATAAAACAATGTGTGAAATAAAACAACCAAATGAAGTAAGCCATGTACAAGTAAACAAAAATGTTTTCAATCTCCTATATACCATGTTTCTTCCAAAAAGTACCAACTGTTGCTCTGGACCAGAATGAAGAGAGGGGAGGACAGGGGACAGTTCCACCTTGTCTCCTGCCTATGTCATCAGTTGGGGGGCCCTCCAAAATGCTCCTCAGTATTAAAAATCAATGAAGTGAAAGAGGTGGTGTAAAGGACCCTATTTTAAGACGCATGACTGATCTGAATGGATATTCATATTTTCCCTTCTACATTGAGGAGACAATGAGATGATAACTAATGACCCTTCCGGAAACTGCCAGCTAGGGCTGATGGCTATTACAGGGAAATTAGAAATCCTTCAGCTTCATTAAATTGTTATTTATGATACACATGACACACATACAACTATGAGAGGAGACAAGATGGCCATGTATAAATATGTGAGGGGAACTCATAGAGAGGAAGGAGCAAGCTTGTTTTCTGCTGCCCTGGAGACTAAGACGTGGAACAATGGCTTCAAACTACAGGAAAGGAGATTCCATCTGAACATTAGGAAAAACTTCCTAACTGCGAGAGCTGTTCAGTAATGGAACTCTCTGCCTTAGATTGTGATGGAGGCCCCTTCTTTGGAGGCTTTTAAACAGAGGCTAGATGGCCATCTGTCGGAGCAGCTTTGAATGTGAGTTTCCTGCTCCTTGGCAGGGGGTCTGACTGGATTACCCACAAGGTTTTTTCAACTCTATGATTCTAATGCCAAAATTAGAGCAGCCAGTTTACAATGCTGCACTACTCACTGAGAGAGCCAGGTAAAACTTACTGCAGCTATTTCTTTTTAAGTTAAAAAGAAGTCAAGTCCCTATTTAAGGGGCCACACTGTAATGTTACCTATTGTTATGTCTAGTGAATTCCTATAACCCAGTGGTTCTCAACCTGTGGGTCCCCAGGTGTTTTGGCCTACAACTCCCAGAAATCCCAGCCAGTTTATCAGCTGTTAGGATTTCTGGGAGTTGAAGGCCAAAACATCTGGGGACCCACAGGTTGAGAACCACTGTTATAACCCAATGGTTCTCAACTTGTGGGTCCCCAGATGTTTTGGCCATCAACTCCCAGAAATCCTAACAGGCTGGGATTTCTGGGAGCTGTAGGTCAAAACACCTGTGGACCCACAGGTTGAGAACCACTGCTATAACCCATGAATGAATACGAAAAGATTTAAATAAAACTGAAAATTTCTTCAGCATATCATGACAAATGATCTAACCTTAGCAAAATTCTATAGCATTCAGGAACAACAACAAAAATCACAAAAACCACTGGGAAAATTGAAAGGAATTCTGGTTCCATAAAACACAGAATTACCTGACTGCCTTCATGTTGTATTAATTCTTGTTTCTCTTCTGGGGTCCTTTTCTGTTCAAACTTTTGAATAAATTCACAGTCTTCTGCTGAAATCATCTGACCTCTGGAAATAAAAACAAAACAATCCGTATTCTAGTGCTTCTTTCAACCCGAAGGTGACCTGAGGCTGTTTACAGATGGAGATCAATGCCCCCCATAACATAAAATATAACTAAAAACGATAAAATATAATACAGATCATATAAAAACAGTAGAACAATAAAAACCATAAAAAGTCCTCAGTGTCTCATCATTAAAATCATTTTTCCGTTGCATCGTCCAATCATTCCATGGGTCTAAATTAATCTGTTACACTGCGTCTGCAAATGCCTGCTCAAAAAGTTGGATGTCATCTGCATATAGGTGACACCACACCCCGAAACTCCAGATGACCTCCCCCAGCGGCTTCATGTAGATGTTAAACAACATGGGAGACAGTATTGAGTTCTGAGGAACCTCACAAGACAATGGTTGTGGGGTTGAACAGGCGTCTCCCAAAAACATTTTCTGGGAGCGACCCTCAAGAAAGGACCAGAGCCACTGCAGAACAGTACCGCCAAGGCCCATTCCCACGAGGCGTCCCAGAAGGATACAGTGGTCAATGGTATCAAAGGCCGCTGAGAGGCCCAGCAGAACCAACAGAGACACATTCGCCCTGTCTAGTTCCTGGCGAAGATCATCCACTAAGGCGACCAAGGCTGTCTCAGTACCATGTCCCAGCCTAAAGCCAGACTGTGCCGGATCCAGATAATACATGTCTTCCAAGAATACCTGGAGTTGTGAGGCCACCACACGTTCCAGCACTTTGACCAAAAAGGAAGGATTGGAAACAACCTGATAGTTGACGACTTGAGTGGGGTCCAGTGATGGCTTTTTCAACAGCAGTTTTATCACAGCTTGTTGTAAGCTCGCTGGAATATTGCCTTCCCGGAGGGAGGCATTAACCACCACTTTTATTCAAACTTTGTGCATATGACCATAAGATACAATGAATAGAGGAAACTGCTAGTTGTAAATTTGACCAAGGAAATAAATAAAGAACACGTGAACTTTAAAATATGTTTAAGTGTCTTTCAGAGGAGACCCATCTTCCACTTTTGAAATGTATAATTTGTCTACTCATCTGAAGTTGTTCAAGAAAAACCAAAGAAAAGCCAGCAATATTCCGCTTCTACAGAAAAGCATTTGGGGGGGGGGGGGGGCAGGCAAATCTCACTTCTACTAAAGCATATGCTTCCCCTTACTTCCACTTCAGATAAGGAAGTATTCATTGTCTTCCACAAAAAGTTGAAACCTGCAAACAGAGGCCAAACTATTTTGACATCTAACAACAAATTACACTATTTATCAATCTTTTAATAGAGCCGTTGATAAAACAGGCTCTTCAGTATTGCTTGCAGCTTTTACTTTTAACATCTCACATGCCCTTATAAAAACCACTTGAATACCTGCATGGCTACCATGACAACTGCTTCTCCAGAATGGAGACAAAGATAATACCCCTTAAGTACTCAGGCATATACTGCCTAACAAGGACAAAGGGGGAGCAACTCAAAGGTTTAATTTACAGCTTATATGCGGTGGAGGAAATTTCAAGAATCTCTCAACTCTCCTTCTCCTGCTCCCACCTTTTTAAGTACTTTTTTTCCCCCTATCAAGCACGATCATAGAAAAGGCATTACAATATCTCATGGAAATGCAATATGCCTTCTATTTTCAAGAGTTAAGGGATACAGAATCACTGTAAAAGTGGAAACAACATGATTTTCAAAACCTGCTATTTTACCTGAGAGAACACCCAAGGAAACTCTATGTCATCTAGCAGGTTTCTATGGTCAGTTTCTGCCAGTAGATGACCACAGTAGATGACTTAGAGATTCCTATAGGGAAAAATAAACCTGCAAATGTGGAGAGCTAATTGTACATTCAGGAGTCTCAGAACTCACTAAGTTATGCTATCAACAAATGGGTTCTACACTATTTCTAAAGCTATCTATGAATATAGGAATCCTCCTATCATCACATGGAGTGACAAAGCTGACACACTGTTCTTTCAAGAAGATTCACTTCCAAGGTAAAGGAACAACACTAAACATTTGTAGGCTTTACAAAGGATGGTAGAAATTGGAAAGAACTGAGCACACTTGACAGACATAGAAATTATGGGAAGAGCAAAGAACTCAGTAATTTCAAGGAAATGCTTCTGTCATGGGTCAGTGTCTATACAACCAGCTTATTATCTGAAAAGGCAAATCATTGGTCAAAGGATGGAAATTTGGAAGAGTTAATCCATCAAGGTTTCCGGGGGATGCGGGGGGCTGTGAAAAGATCCAGAGAGAACAATGGAGTTGGGAGGAAATCCTTATGATTCTTTGGAAATCTGTCCAGGATCTTTCAATGAGATCGGTAACGGTAGACAAGCTGCCCTGAAAAATAGCTTTCCTGCCATCTGGAATACACAAGCAGCTTCAAGCTGAATTCTAGTCTACATTCTCATTTCACTTAAAATGACTGCTAAGTCCTGCTCATGTTTCTAAGACTTCTAATACTGCCCCAGTTGGACAGTCATCCAATATTATTACTGCCAGGTCGGTGACAAGCAAGGGTTTGATAATGGCAGACAAGCCTTGCTGCTCACATTCTCCCCTTACTTCAACAGAGATTAAGGAACAAACTTCTTTTCCTTATTCTGAACCTGATCCACTAATGGGTCTTTAAGTCCTCCCCTGCAGCTTCCTCCCAAACAAGAGGGATTTTTCATGCCCAGATGCCAGTAGCTGTGTGCATTTCAACCAAGATATATTTATTTCTACCCAGATGATCAAGTGCTGCTTTCTAGAGGAGAGGTTCTCAAAGTATGCTTCATGGAGCACTTGGGGCTCTGCAAAGCATACTGAGGAGTTCAGTGATTCCCCCCCCCCTTTAAACTTTCTTTTCTCTTTCCTGCCTCTTCCCTTTCTCCGCCTCGCTCACCCCAAAAGCATTTTCCCTCACCTTCCTCACCAAAAGCCTCTTCTCCACTCCCTTACCTTAAAAGCCGTTTTCCCCACCTCCTTCACCCCCAAAGCCTTTTTCCCCTGCCTCCCTCATCTCCAAAACCCCTTTCCCCTCCCCCCTTGCCCCAAAAAGCCCTTTTCCCTGTCTCCCACATCCCAAAAGTCTTTTACCTCTGCCTCCCTCCTCCCCAAAAGCCTTTCCCCCATGTCTCCCTTGCCACCCAGATCCTTCTCCCCTCACCTTCCTCACTTCCAAAACCTTTTATCCCTCCCACCAGTCGGAGGTGCTTTGAAGCTCCATTTTCTGCATGGCAGAGGAGAATTGAACTAGATAGCCCCTGAGGTTGCTCCTGTTGCTATTACTATAATTACAAAGGCTGGGTGACCAACAGGTTAGGGTGCTTTGATTGTGCTTTTACTGCATGGCATAAGGGGGTTGGAGTGGATGGCCCCTAGGGTCTTCCACTGAAATACTGTGAAGTTTATGCTGGTTAAAATTGTTCTTCATTTCAAATATTGTCTTTTTCTTTCTTTCTTTCCTTTTTTTTTTTTTTTTTTTTTTTGCATTACAAACAAGATATGTGCAGTGTGAATAGGAATTTGTTCATGTTTTTTTTTTCAATTAGTTGATACAAATGCTTTCCATCCATCTGCCATTAGCCCATCCTGCCTGTCAAATTTTAAAACACAATGTGTCAAAAAGTGTGCCCTTGCCTGCTATATAAATTATATTTATAATATAATATAATATAAACATTTCCTGGGGCTCCTTGATAAACTTTTGCTTCAAAAAGGACTCTGCAGCTGAAAAAAGTTTAAGGACCCCTGTTCGAGAGCATTTAGTTTGACTCGATCATTCATATCTTTCTTCTACAATAGTGGCAGGAAAACTTTGACCATCCAAATGTTTTCGCCTACCACTCCTACAAGCCCCCCTCGGCATGGCTAATCATGAGGAACTGTGATGATTCTTGGGAAAAATATCTGGAGGGTCAAGCTTCAGAACTGTTATGTGTCTACCTAATTGTTTCAGCTCTTTGTAAATAGAACTATTCTGAATTCAACCTGTATCATTATTATGGAAAAACAAACCAAGATGAAAGCCTTGCTCACTTTTAATGTCAATATTACAGTTTTACCTTCTTTTACATTTAGAGCAAGGTGGAAATTGGACAGCCATGCAGATATTATTGGACTGAAAGACTCAAAAATCCTAAGGCAACATAAACAAAAATGAGAATAATCAGTGTTCCATTCCAGGAACATCTTGAGGACCACATGCTTCCTGGCTTAGAGACATTGAGCATGCAGATTATGAAAGTTTGACAGCCAAAAGTTTTAAAGACTTTTTAAAAAAAATTAAATCTAAGACAATATTTCTACTTGCACTATAAGCCAAGCTGTAAAGCAATTTCAGCACATAAACTATCCACTAATGGGTGGTTGTGTTATTAGGACAAGAATGGGCAATGTTTGCCTTTCCAAAAGCTTAGAATACAAATGCCACTGTAGCACACTTTTAAGTTCATACTACTGATGATCACTGTAACATCTTTTTAGTCAAATAACAAGACATGCAATTCCAATATTATAGTAGAAAACAGCTGTTCACCAGAGATTTTGTAAGTCTCCCAAAGGGATACTAATTTGGAAAAGCACTATTTCCAACAATCAGTGTTACAGTAGCTTGTGATTAAATTTTCTTCTTTCACTGTCAATTTCCTTTGCAGGAAGTACAGTTCTTCTGTTCATAGGACACAGCAAATACTTTACTTCCTTGCAATTTTGCATTTATCAGCAGTGCTCTCAAAATTTTGCATGTATTGGCCTGTGTCTTGAAAACAGTGAAAATATTTTGGTATCAGTCAAGGTTGATATAATTGGGGAGCAATGGAGACATGTCAGTCTAAATATAAAAAGGTATCTAATCATTTAAAGTCTCAAAAACATTGACAGCATGTAGCTGTTTTATGAATCATAAATTAAACAGTCAAAAAGCAGGTATTCTTATAAGGATTAATATTCAGAGATTTTTTTTGCCAGACTTTTGCAGATTTTGCTAAAGTTTTAGAAAGTGGTAGTTATAGCTATTTATACTGCTAAAGCAAAATATCTTTAAGATGTCCCATAAATGGTAAGAACTGCCGTAGACACTTTTCCAACAGTTTCCACTGACACAAGATTTTCCTATGTCTCATAATGGCATGAAAATCTGAGACTCAAGAGGTCTAAAATTATCCTTAGTATGGAAGTCTATGGTTAGGCTTCTTAAAAAAATATGTAAGCCCTTCATCACTTACTGGAGATATGACTGCCAATTAACTTTGTTAGCCCGGACCTCAGCAGCTTTGGCAGCAATGATATTAGTAGGCACAGCAGCATCTACAGCACCCCGGATATCCATTTTTATCTTGATTTAATAATTCTGTTAAGACAAAAAAAAAAGATAAATTTGCATAAAAATGTAAAATATTTTAGCAAAGATGGTTTCATTAGAACATTTAAGATCAAAAACACTAATCTGTCATAAGCACATTATAGTTCACACAATAAACTTTCTGAATTCAGAAATGTAAGCATCTTGTATAGCAGTATCCACAGGTGAAGATTTCAATAATTAGAAAAGGCATCTATCTATCTATTCCCCTTGCAAGGGGAAAGATCCAGTGCACTGCACCCATGCAGGACCAAATCTCTAACAAAGGAAGAGGCAAACAACATGACATTTCACAACCTTGTATGAATGAAAGTAATAGAATTATCGTGGTACAGAAAATACTGTTTTTTCTCCCTCTTCCAGCTAGCTTGATTTGAAGCAGGGTTTTCTTAGTTCCTGAAATATACATATAAAGATTCATGTTTTCCCTTTCCTTGCACAACTGAACACAGGAAGCTGACTTATACTGAGCACACCCACTTAGTTCTCTATTGTCAAATCTGACTAGCAGCTCACCAGAGCTTCAAGAAAAAGAAATTTGGGGTTATTAGATTTTAGCAAAATTGGCTCCTAGGCATAAAAACCAATGTTTGGTTTATGTCCTGCTTCCTTTGACAACTGGCTGTGGTTCCCTTCCCATTGATCCAATTATTTCTTTTTTTAACTCATATTACAATCCTTTTCTAATAACAATAGCTGCTAAATACAGTAGAACATATTTCTCAGTAAAAATGCACAGCTCACGGTCTTAAATGCATTAAGGATTTCTGTGTCAAATTGTAAGAAACAACAGCCACACAGTCTAATACCATAATGTACGAGAAGCAATGACCTTCACAATTTTCGTTTTCTCCTTCCTGAAGGAGCTTCTGGTTTAGTCTGACTCACTGATGCCAAAACAACTTCTCTAGTTTTAGTGTGTCCATGAAATCATGATTGGGACAGAGCTTCCATAAACACCATCAGATTTTACTTGATAAAACCAGCCCAACCTCCCCCAGGACCGCTTTTCCATACACAAAAACCAGATCAGTATTTTCCATTCATCAAATGGAAACCTATACTTATCTGTTATTAGATGAGACAATTACTGCTGCCTTCTGCATTGCACTGGTGTCAGGAAGAAAAGGTCTCAAGTCAGAGGCTACACTACTGTTCCTCCTTCTGGTACACAATCAAAGCAAGTTCACCTCTACTTTAAAGAATGATATGAAGATTTTATTTTAACAAGGAATAATTAAAACTTACAACAGATTGATTGGGGGACACAACCATAACAGAAAAGCTTTAAAGATAATTATTATGATTATCACTATCACATTCATCATCATCATTACTGGTTGAGGGAGGGAGTGTTAGTGGCAGTAACAGCATCTGTACAGGTTAAGTACACCTGGAATTTCAAAATGTTCCAAACTCCAAAACTGTCTGCATGGATGGCTGAGATAGTGAGATCTTTGCTTTGTGATAGCTCAAGTATGCTTATTTTTATGCACAAAAATACTAATAATATAGTAAATAAAATATAGTAAAGGTTTCCCCTGACATTAAGTCTAGTTGTGTCCAACTCTGGGGGATGGTACTCATCTCCATTTCTAAGCCGAAGAGCCAGCATTGTCTGTAGACGCCTCCAAGATCATGTGGCCAGCATGACTGCATGGAGCACTGTTACCTTCCCACTGAAGCTGTACCTATTGATCTACTCACATTTGCATGTTTTTGAACTGCTAGGTTGACAGAAGCTGGAGCCAACTGCGGGAACTCACCCTGCTCCCCAGATTCGAACCGCCAACCTTTCAGTCAGCAAGTTCAGCGGTACTGCACCACCAGTACAACAGTGGGCTAGCCCACGAGGTCTCTTCCAACTCTATGATTCTATATGTACATACCTATGTACATACCTATGTACATATATGCAAATATGCTGTTGTCAATCCTAAGGCAACCATATCCCAGGGTTTTCTTGGCAAGATTTGCCCTTGCCTTCCTCTGGAGCTGAGAGTGTGTGACTTGCCCAAGGTCACAGTGCAGATTCAAATCCTAGGATTCAGTCATAGACCAATGTTCAAACCATGATGCCACACTGCAAATACTGTGTGTGTTGGGGGGCGGAGGTTTAGCACTGTTGGTAAATCATCAGCAACTACAAGATCTATCAACCAAAAGGTTACAAATTCAAAGCCCCGAGTTGGCGTGAGATGCTAACCGTTAGCCTAGCTCATTGTTTACCTAAGCAATTCAAAAACAGCTTTAGCTGTGATTTGAGAAATTAGGTACCACTAAAAAGCAGGGGAGGTGTTTTACAACGCCATAAAGAAAGAAGATCAGAAAATGCTGGGCGACCAAAAGAAAAGAGGAAATCCTGACAGCTCTTCATCAAGCCCAACCTTCCATGACACCAAAAACAGCTGAAACAAACCACCTCCTTCTGTTCTGTCTGTCTGTCTGTGTATTGTCTATACAAAGCGGCATGGAATGTTTGCCATGTATATGTGCTGTGATCCGCCCTGAGCCTCCTTCGGGGTGAGAAGAGCGGAATATAAATAAAGTATTATTATTATTATCCTAAGTCCAGAACACTAGCACATTTTGGATAGTCAATGGGTCCTCTTGGTTCTATGGAGGGCACTGTAGAACCAATCGTGACAGTTATAGTATGGTGAGGCTCCAAAACTATTGGGCACAAAGTTACAGAACATGTCAAACTACAACTCCCCCTTTTTTTGTTGTTGTTGTTGTATCAGGAGCGACTTGAGATACTGCAAGTCGCTTCTGGTGTTAGAGAATTGGCCATCTGTAAGGACGTTGTCCAGGGGACGCCCGGATGATTTGATGTTTTTATCACCCTTGTGGGAGGCTTCTCTCATGTCTCCGCATGAGGAGCTGGAGCTGATAGAGGGAGCTCATCCGCCTCTCCCCAGTTCCGAACCTGCGACCTGTCGGTTTACCCCACTGCACCACCAGGGACTCCTATAATTCCATAGAATTGAGCCAAGATAGATACAGTGGTGTCAAACAGTGTAGACCAGGCCTGGGGAAACTTCGCCCCTCTGGGTGTTTTGGACTTCAACTCCCACAATTCCTAACAGCCGGTGTCAAACAGTGTAGACCAGGCCTGGGGAAACTTCGGCCCTCCGGGTGTTTTGGATTTCAACTCCCGCAATTCCTAACAGCCAGGCTGTTAGGAATTGTGGGAGTTGAAGTCCAAAACACCCGGAGGGCCGAAGGTTCCCCAGGCCTGGTGTAGATGCACCTTTAGGCCATGCTAAAGATTAGTCAAATTCTAGGCAGGCAATGTCAACAATGCCTGTTATATATATAAAAAAAAGCATCTAGAGACCAAAACTCTAGATGCAGCTGGATATAATGGGAGGGATAAAAATATGAAAGTGCAATAGGAATAACCATTAAATACATAAATATACGCTTGGGATTTCCCCCTCGGGCACCTGACGTCCAGTAGGACCCTTCCCCTGGCTTCCTGAGGGCCTTGGAGCCCAGGAGAAATTAACCAGAGGCCCCTTGGCCCTTTTTCCCAGCCCGTGAAGCCCCTCCGAATGACGCCTGGTCCCCGGGCCCTCCCCAACCGAGCCCACGGCCTCAAGGCCTCGCTCACCTTCTGCTCCTCCTCCTCCTCCAAAAAGGTTCCCGGAATCCGCGGCAGCAAGGAGAGCTGCTGACCCAGACGCGGCGGCGGAGCACTGAAGGGGCAGAAGCTGCTGAAGGTCATGTGACCGCGCTCAGCTGACAGCGCGGGCCATACTCCAGCTACGGGTCGCCAGGAGGCTCAGTTCGCCAAGCCTGGAAGAGGCAGAACGTGAAAGGGAAAAGAGACAGGGCGCTTTAGCTTCCTATTATTCCTTATATTGGATCACTATTCATTTAAAATAATTTGTGCAAGATGTTCTTTGCAGGGAGGAAACCAATATGGTGCATTTTAATGTCAAGTTTGTTAACACTGATTCATATATGATGTTATTACTAATAATATTGCAGTATAGTATTATTATTTATTTATTTACAGTATTTGTATTATTATTATTATTATTATTATTATTAACTTTATGTGTACCCCGCTAACATCTCCCGAGGGACTCGATGCGGCTTACAAAGGCCAAGGCCTCAATACACAACATAACAATACAACCTAAAGCAAATTAAAAACAATTAAAGCAATATTAAACAACAAAACAACAAGCAATAAACAATACACCAAAAACACAATAAAACTGGGCCGGGCCAGAGTAATGGGTACAGAATTAAAAGTGCTGATGTGACAGGTGATATGTAAGGATTATAGGGTAAGTGCAATGTGCAGTGTGCGGCAATCTTAGTTCTAATAAAGTGCTTCTGGGACTTGGTATTGGAGATTTCCTAATCTGGGAAGGCACATCGGAACAGCCAGGTCTTCAAGTTCTTTCTGAAGACTGCCAATGTAGGGGCCTGTCTAAGATCTTTGGGGAGGGTGTTCCAGAGTCGGGCGGCCACCACAGAAAAGGCCCTGTCTCGCATCCCCACCAAACACGCGCTTGCGACGCAGGCGGGATCACGAGCAGGGCCTCTCCAGGTGAACGCGTGGGTTCATAAACAGAGATGCGGTCACGCAGGTATTTGTATACCGCTTTTCTCATCCCGAGGGGGACTCAAAGTGGTTTACACATAAGTAATGGCAAAAATTCAATGCCAGTACAAACAGTTACAATTATACACTACAATTAGACATAAATTAAATTTTAAAAAAATACATCCATGAGCAATAAAACAATCATTAAAACAAAACAGTCTTGTCCGTCGAATCGACATTCCAGTCATTATAGTACGATATAGTAATATATAATGCTAATATTGTGCTATGCAAATAATATATTGTATATGCATATCATAATAATGAGCCCTCAGTGGCGCAATGGGTTAAACCCCTGTGCCGGCAGGACTGAAGATCGACAGGTCGCAGGTTCGAATCCGGGGAGAGGCGGATGAGCTCCCTCTATCAGCTCCAGCTTCTCATGCAGGGACATGAGAGAGGCCTCCCACAAGGATAATAAAAACATCAAAACATCCGGGCGCCCCCTGGGCAACGTCCTTGCAGACGACCAATTCTCACACACCAGAAGCGACTTGCAGTTTCTCAGGTCTCTCCTGACATGATTATTTATATATATATATATATATATATATATATATATATAATAGTAATATACAAGAATAAATCAGTATAATCATTTTTATTATTATTATTGTGTCAGGAGCTATTTGAGAAGTTGTAAGTTGCTTCTGGCATGAGAGAATTGACCGTCTGCAAGTACGTAGCCCAGGATGCCAGGATGGAATGGGGAGAGTGCAGATGAGCTCCTTCTGGCAGCTTCAACTCCCCATGTGGGGACATGACAGAAGCCTCCCAAAAGCATTGAGGCATCCTGGGCTACCAACTTGCAGACGTAATATGTAATACAATATAGTACCGCCTTGAGTCGTCGATAAGGTTGGAAAGGCAGTATACAAGTATAGTAAGTATAGTAAAGGCAGTATACAAGTATACACGATCGCTCCGGAACGTCCCCTCTCAAATAGCCGAGCTAAACCAGCTCCCTGGTTCACCGAGGAGCTGGCAGCGATGAAGCGAAGGAAGAGGGAACTAGAGAGCGTGTGGCGTTCGGATCCGAGAGCCAAATCGAACACGGTTTGTGTCCTTTTTAAGGGCATATGCCGCGGCAATAAAAGCCGCAAAGAAGGCCTTCTTTGCGGCCACTATTGCGTCTGCAAAGAACCGTCCGGCTGAGCTGTTCCGAATTGTCAGAGGCCTTTTAAATCCCACCACTCAAGGTGGGAACCCTGACGATTCGACTTCTCGCTGTGAAGCTTTTGCTCAGTTCTTTGCAGACAAAGTCGCTTTGATCCGTTCTGGTCTGGATACCATGTTAATGGCAGTCTCTGAGGATGTAACACGAGCACCTGCTTGTCCAGTTTTGATGGATTCATTTCAATTGGTGAAACCCGAGGATGTGGACAAGATACTTGGAGGAATGAGGCCAACCACATGCATCCTAGACCCCTGCCCATCCTGGCTTCTAAAGGAGGCCAGAGGGGGATTGGCTGAGTGGGTTAAGGTGGTGGTTAATGCTTCCCTTCGGGAAGGCAAGATTCCAGCGAGCTTAAAACAAGCTATAATAAAACCGCTGTTGAAGAAACCATCACTGGACCCCACTAAATTCGACAACTATCGGCCAGTTTCCAATCTCCCCTTCTTGGGCAAAGTCTTGGAACGTGTGGTGGCCTCACAACTCCAGGTATTCTTGGTAGACACGGATTATCTAGACCCGGCACAGTCTGGCTTTAGGCCGGGACATGGTACCGAGACAGCCTTGGTCGCCTTAGTGGATGATCTGCGCCGGGAGCTCGACGGGGAGTGTGTCCCTGTTGGTGCTGCTGGACCTCTCAGCGGCCTTCGATACCGTCGACCACGGTATCCTTCTGGGACGCCTCGCAGGGATGGGTCTTGGAGGTACTGTTTTGCAGTGGCTCCGGTCATTCCTGGAGGGTCGATCTCAGAAGGTGTTGTTGGGGGACACCTGTTCAACCCCACAACCATTGTCTTGTGGGGTTCCTCAGGGCTCAATATTGTCTCCCATGTTGTTTAACATCTACATGAAGCCGCTGGGGGAGATCATCCGGAGTTTCGGGGTACAGTGTCATCTGTACGTGGATGATGTCCAACTCTGTCACTCCTTTCCACCTGCTACTAAGGAGGCTGTCCAGGTCCTGAACCGGTGCTTGGCCGCTGTGACGGTCTGGATGAGGGCGAACAAATTGAAATTGAATCCAGACAAGACAGAGGTACTCCTGGTCAGTCGCAAGGCCGAACAGGGCATAGGGTTACAGCCTGTGTTGGATGGGGTCACACTCCCCCTGAAGACGCAGGTTCGCAGCTTGGGTGTGACCCTGGACTCATCGCTGAGCCTGGAACCCCAGGTTTCGGAGGTGACCAGGGGAGCATTTGCACAGCTAAAGCTTGTGCGCCAGCTGCGCCCGTACCTTGGGAAGTCTGACTTGGCCACGGTAGTCCACGCTCTGGTTACATCCCGTTTAGACTACTGCAACGCTCTCTATGTGGGGTTGCCTTTGAAGACAGCTCGGAAGCTCCAACTAGTCCAACGCTCGGCAGCCATGATTTTAACAGGAGCGGAGCGCAGGGAGCATACAACCCCCCTGTTGCGCCAACTCCACTGGCTACCGATCTGCTACCGGGCTGAATTCAAAGTGCTAGCGTTGGCCTTTAAAGCCCTAAACGGTTCCGGCCCAAGCTACCTATCTGACCGCATCTCTGCCTATGAACCCACCAGGACTTTGAGATCTTCCGGGGAGACCCTGCTCTCGATCCCGCCTGCTTCTCAAGCTCGGCTGGCGGGGACGAGAGATAGGGCCTTCTCGGTGGTGGCTCCTCGTCTGTGGAACGCCCTTCCTATGGACATTAGACTAGCACCATCTCTAATGGTATTCCGCAAAAAGGTGAAGACCTGGATGTTTGTGCAGGCGTTTGAGTAATTTAGTGCAATCTGGTAATGGAACATAGGAATGGAACAATGGACGACGAACCTGGACTACGCTTGGATGATGAGAAGATTGGGTACGGTTGTTTTTGTAATAATTGTGCATTGTAATTGCTTATTGGTAATTTATGGATAATGTGTTAAGTCAATTGTTATATGTTGTATGGAACCACTGCTGTTTCTACTGTTTTTACTGTTTGTGAACCGCTGTGAGTCGCCTTCGGGCTTGAGATACAGCGGTATATAAGCAAAGTAAATAAATAATAATAAATAATAATAATAATGTGACCCACACGTTCTTGTGAAATGCCGATTATGCTTGAAATTTCTCTCTGAGTGAAATTTCTGTCACTTGAAGGTTTTTTTTTTTTGTCATGTCAGGAGCGACTTGAGAAACTGCAAGTCACTTCTGGTGTGAGAGAATTAGCCGTCTGCAAGGACGTTGCCCAGGGGATGCCTGGATGTTTTGATGTTTTGACCATCAGTGTGGGAGGCTTCTCTCGTGTCCCCGCAATGGGGAGTTGGAGCTGATAGAGGGAGCTCATCCGTGCTCTCCCCAAATTCGAACCTGCAACCTGTTGGTCTTCAGTCCTGCCGGCACAAGGGTTTAGCCCACTGCGCCACCAGTGGCTCCTACCGATAATATATAATAATATATGTAGGGGCCCCAAGGCACAATGGGTTAAACCCTTGTGCCGGCAGGACTGAAGACCGACAGGTAATATTTGGGGAGGACAAATGTGTCTTGTGACGCTCTACTTTGGACGGTCCTCTCATTTAAAAACAACAAAGGTCCCTTCTGCACATCTGCTTTGAACTAGAATATATGGCAGTGTGGACTCAGATAAACCACTTCAAACCAGATATGTGGGGTTTTCTGCCTTGATATTTTGGGTTATATAGCTGTGTGGAAGGGTTATAGGAATTCCAGTTCTTTTGGCATAACTATTTAATGCCCCTTCTTGCATCTCCATTTTCCTTTGCTAGAATAGGGCACACATGAATTCAGCGACTGCAGAATAGTGGCAATGATGATGACTTTGCAAAGCTTCCTATATCCAAAGTTTCAGCGTTTACATTGTAAAGGTAATACAGTACAATGTAATATTGTAGGATTTTAAAAAAATATTTATTTATTTATTTATTTACAGTATTTATATACCGCCTTTCTCACCCCAGGGGGATTCTTGCTTGTAACAA